TTTCATCTTCAAGTTCTGAGATTCTGTCTTCTGTTTGTTCTATTCTGCTGGATTGGCCTTCCATTTTGTTTTGCAGTTCTTTTTCGTTCTTTTTTCTGAGGTTTTCTATATATTGGCTGGTTTCCTCTTTAATGTTGTCAATTTTTGTCCTGAGTTCATTTATCTGTTTATTCATTGTGTTCTCTCTTTCACTTTGGTGTTCATACAGTGCTTCTATGGTTTCCTTTATTTCTTCTTTTGCTTTTTCAAATTCTCTATTTTTGTTGTCTTGGAATTTCTTGAGTGTCTCCTGTACATTTTGGTTGACCCTATCCAGTATCATCTCTATAAAATTCTCATTGAGTACCTGTAGTATGTCTTCTTTTAAATTATTCTTGTGGGCTTCATTGGGTCCTTTGACATAGTTTATCTTCATTTTGTTGGAGTCTGGATCTGAGTACCTGTTTTCTTCATTCCCCTCTGGTTCCTGTACTAATTTTTTACTGTGGGGAAACTGGTTTCCCTGTCTTCCCATCATTGTCTTTGGTGTTGTTACTGTCCCTGTACTGTGTGCAATTCAGTATTTTCTAGCTTGTAATAATAACAATGGTAATATTTAGAATGGAAGGGTGAGCTGAGATGGAAAGCAAGAAGTTAAAGAAATGGGAAAAACAAATACACAGACTGGAAGGAGAAAACAGAACAAGGTATCAGACAAAAAGGTTTCAAAGGTATTAGTGTACTAATCAACAGTAAGTGAACAGACATTAGAGAGACAGAGAGAGGATTGAAAATAAAAAATAAAAAAATAAAGATAAGAATAAAAATAAAAATAAGTAAATGAAAGAAAATCTACATATAAAAATGTATTAAAATAAAATGAGAAAAATAGAAAAACCTGTAAGTTTTTCAACTTGCAGCTATAATTCGGTTGTTCTCTCATCAAAGGTAGGGAGACAAAGAAAAAAAAAGAGTCTGGAGACAGTTCTGAGAATGGTATCTGCAGCTGTGGCTTGCCTGCCCGCTGTTGTCAGCCTGCTGTTGCTGGAGGCGTTATTTATGCAGATTTCAGGGGTGAGCTTAGCACTCACCTGGCCCTGCAGGCTTTGTTTGCTCAGATTTCTCCTGTGCGTGAGCCTCTGCTACAAGCTTTCCCCTTTCCAAGCACACTGGGAAAGGTGACACTGCACCTGTGTTCTCAGGCCTGCGTGTTTATTTACAGCTCATGTGGGAGGTGGGTCTTCCCCCATCTCCTGTGCAGTTTTCCTCCCACTGCCACTTTCACAAGCTTTCCTGCTCCTGATTACTGGGCGGTGCTGCTGTTCCATTTGGTTTTTAAGAAAGACTTTTGGAGCCCACACCTCGGGATTCCAGAGAGGATGACCAGTTTCAAATGGAATTGAGCTGTGAGAAAAGGAGACTCAGGAAAATGACATAGGTTGCCCGGAGTTTTGGGGATGATTTTATGGACCCGTGAATTGTTCTGAATTTTTTGGCTATGTGTCTGAACTTAATTTTTTACATTTACCCTTGTTACACAATTTTTATTACTGTTTTCATTTCTTCCAGAGAAAACTGCCCAAAAGTAATAAATAGAGTTAATGAATATTTGTCTTTTGGCGACTAATTGGCAATAGAGATGAGGGCAGAGACCATTTTTACAATGTGACTTAGAGGATGTTAGTCCACTTGCTGCAGATGTAGGGTGTCCTGATACTGATCTATCTGATAATACTACCTCATTTTGGGAAAAGAGTATAGCTTTTGTTGGAGCTGGCTCTGATAACTCTTCCAAGCTAATTGTGAAGTTTTCAGAAATAATCACCATTGTTTAGGATTACATTGCACCAACTATGTCTAAATAGATCATATTTTAAAAGGTAATAAGAGCCTCGTGCTAGTTTGTGGAGACTTTGAAAGGAGCCTAATGCTAGGCTACAAAAAGCTGAAAGAGGGAATGCTGATGAAGCAAGCAAAGGGAAGTTCACCCCTGAAGTGCAGACTTGGTTGTTGTATTACTATTACCTGTGGCTGTGAGGCTGAAAGAGAATCAATGATCAGGGATGTGAACATGGCCATCTGTATGTAACAAGGCCACTTCCTATACATCTCCCAGTCCCAGAGAGGACACTTGCTTCCTAAAAAGGAAAGACGTTTCAAGGGCCCATAGAAACAGAATTGAGAGAGGATGAGCATGGTGCTAGAGGGGAAGGACTCAAGTGCACAGGGTGAAAATAACTTAGAGAACAAAGTATTACAGAGGCTAATGATACTCAACACTTTCCTTCTTCTAGAAATTTCTCTCTGAGGCTTTCAAGAACTTTCATATTGATCCTCTGCTGGCTCCTTTGCAATCACCCATGAATAATAAGCACACGTCAAAATGCAAGCTATGTTGCTGATAAATAAATCCTTGAAAGACATCCAGAGATGTGATGAGGTCTAAGCAGAGCATTAGAAAACCTGATGGCTGAGAACCATGGCTTGGATGTTGATAAGGAGTCACATCCTAGACTCCTAGACTGCTGACTTTAACAAAATGGCTAGTGACATACAGCAGAGTCCTCCTGACCTGTGGCCCCTAGTGCCCACAAAAGATATATAAAAAGAAAGAAACAAAAGTCCCAGTCTGACCACTCAAGGCCAAAACTTCCCCTGCCCAATAAGTGGGGAGGAGCTGCTGACACATAGCCCAGGCCCTGAAAGTTAAAGACACATAACCCAGTTTTTCAGTACTGATCCCTCCATCTCCACAGACCTCAATAAAAGCTTGAGGTCTTGGGACTCTCCTTCTTGAGTCTCCCACCTTCCACCTTCCTGTTAAGAGGGTGTTATATAAATAAACCTGCCCCAACCTTCATATCGACAATAGAAGCATTTCCTTGTATTTAGCTGGCTGGCTGCTTTTCTGTGAACTAATAAAGTTCTTGTTTCTCCTACTTGTTTGTCTTTTAGCAATTTGAGGCCCCCAAAAATCCCTGACAAAATGGAGAGTTAAAACTTCTAGTATAAATAAAGATTTTGCTCTAACTTTATTTCTTCTAAATTGATGAAATTGATAAAATTCTTCCCAATTAAACAAAAAGATAACTCATTTCTCAGTTCTGGATTTCCAAATGCTGGGAAGATAAGATTTCCGATTTTCACTGTGCTTTGGGGTGAGATAGAGCTCAGGCCCTGATGGAGTGACCACTATTTGAACTGAGGGCTCTGAGCCACCCTTCTGTGTCCTCTGCGCTTTCCTTCCTGAGTCTCAGGGCTGTTTGGATCAGATCACCATCGCCATCTGCAGGTAGAAAGCTGAACACTGGAGAAAATATCTTCCCACTTCCGCATTATTATAGATCAGGAATAAATACACAAGAAACTCTCTTTGGCCCATCTCTGGATCTCTTCATCCTGAAATTCAGCATCACTGTAATTAAGAGGTAATTTTCAAGGCCCATCCCTGAGGGGCAAAACAGCTGTGATTTTGGCAGGCTCTAAGAGACTTCATCCTCTCTCACAGAGATCCAAGAATAACGTGGGCTGAGAACTCCCAGACCTTTCCACCAGTGCTCATCCACAATGACCTGCTGCTGTGCTCCATCTCTGCCTTACTGCTGATGACCTGGGGACTGTCCTTCTCCTAAGGCTGATGCCACCAGGAAGCCATCCCACCTTCTCCCTGTCTTTTCTTCCAACTAAAATTTACACATGCCTAAGACTTTCCCTTCTTAAAAATCCAGGAAATAAAAATAACAACTCCCTGATCCTACGACCTGCCCCCTCCACTCCACACCCCCACACACCTTTCTGCTGCCTAGTTCCTTCCTCCTTTCCACAATCACACTTCCAGGAAGAGTTGACTGCTTGCTGCCTCTGCTTCTTTCAGTCCTCAGGCACTGCTCCTCCTTCTTCCCCAGGAAGCAGAGTTGTCAGGGCCCCCAGCAGGGCAATTAACACTGCTCTAGCCTGAGATACCCTTGGTACTGAAAGGACACCTCCCTGTGACTGGAAACATTCTTTCATCATGGGTGGAGGACACACACATCTTCAGCCTCTCTCCCACCTCTCTGGCCACCCTAGAGTCCACCCATGTCCTAGTGCAACTACTTTTCAGCCACTTGCTTGGGTCACCCATGGATGACCTTGGAGTCACTTGAGCTTTTCCTTCTCTCCTGGCTCACATGCCTTCAGCCTTCTCTTTAATACTAATTTAGAACTCACCCTTTCCCCTTCTTCCTGTGCACCCTGGTCTCAATCAGCCTCTGCTGACCTGGGGCACCTGGGCCATCACTTGTCTAGCTTCCCAGACTCCACTCTAGCCACCAGCAGTTGCAGGATTGATCCTGTACAAGAAACTCACAGCAAGGAGCCCTCCCTGCTTCCCAGCCCTCTAAGGTCATTCCTAGGCCTCAGGCGACATAACTCAAAAATTTCCCAATACCTCACAGGGATTAAGAGCCCCTCTTCATTTGTTCTAAGAACTCCTGTATTTTGCTTCCTGAAGTGCTAAATCCTGTGTCCCAGACAGCTGAGGGAGCTCTATGAAGGCAGGGACTTGGTCGAATCCATTCAGAGTGCAAAGCATCTAGTAAGTACTCCACAAAAATGGGGAGTGTATCATTGCTCCTGCATTTCTAGACAAGTAATTTTCACAGATAAGAAAACAGAACTCAAGGGGAAAAAAGCAAGGAAAAAAGTCGTCCCAAAGTGGGCACAACTCCTAAGAGGATCAGTTTGCAAACAGTTTTCTGCTCTTGTAAAAGGTGGACATGTGGCAAAAATGAAACTTTTGTGTTTGTTTAGGTTCAACTGTGAATGGCAGGCAGTGCTGGGATGGGGACCCTACATCTGTGCACAGGTGGAACGAGGCCAGATGCCTGTAGCCCTACTGCCAGCTCCAATATTAGTCTTTGCTGTGTGCCTAGGCAGAAGGTGGAAGACGGGGTGGAGGGTGTAGGTCACTATTCCAATCCTGGGGCGGCTGAGCTTAAGACAGAAACTAAAGACCCAGAGGAGTTTCCAGGAAACGAAAGTGAAAGAGGCAAAGTTAACTTTCCTGAGTCAGGGCAGCCTCATCAGCCCGGTGGACGAGCCCAGCAGAGGATGGCCGCGTCCGGCCCGTTCCCGCTGCTGGTGGAGGGGTCTTGGGGCTCCGACCCCCCAAAGAACTTGAGTACCAAGCTGCAGATGTACTTCCAGAGCCCGAAGAGATCGGGAGGCGGGGAGTGCGAGGTCCGCGCGGAGCCCGGGAGCCCGGGGCGCTTCCTGGTGCTCTTCTTCCCCGAGGACGGTGAGGGGCGCGAGGGGAGCGCTGAGGACCAGGCCGGCTCCTTCTGCGGGGACACTGGTGGCCGCGCGGGCGGCGGGGGTCGGGGCGGGGGGAGAATTCGTCGTCTCCCCCTGCAGCAGCAGGGCAGGTCTCAGGGACTGGGGGTGGGGGGCAGAATGGACTCAGCGCACCCGGGTGCTGCGGTTCCCCTCCGTGAGGGCTTCCAGACACTCCTGGGCGCGGCCTGGAGGGAACTGTGCGAGTCAATCTATCAACCTTTACTCCTTTCCTGTCTCTTCCTGTTATGATTAAGTGGGGAAAGAAAGGGGAGTAAGAAACGTGGGGAGTCACGGAATTCCTTATGGGTCATGGACATTCTTAGTGGTTCTGGGGTACCTTGAGAGGGGGAAAATGCACTATCACTCCGTTTGGATGAAAACCAGAGGGGAAATGCAGAGCACGATCCAGGGCCTGCTCTTGCCCCCTCTGGGTCTCACGGTGGCCGCACATTGGGAGCACCCTGATAATTCTGAGGTGACGTGGGTTGAGAGCTTTGAGCATGGGAAAGGTCACTCCTACAGAACTCTGAGCGGCTGAGGACTCCTCTGTTCCCCACCCTGTCCCTGTTCAGGAAGGTCAAGACCCACCTGTTACCTGCTTTCTCAGGTCTGCAATAGGAAGATCCAGGGGACTCAGAGACCTGGGACTCCCAGAAGGCCACCTATTCCTCTGGGATTTCATACACTGGTGGTGATCCTCAGGATGTAAGCAATGCCACCTTCCTGTCCTTGGACTTGGGGAAGCATGTGGGCCAGAGGAGAGGCAAGGGGGCTCTGGAAGAGATGCAGTGGAGCAGTGGAATGCCCCAGCATTCCAGAAAGGAAAACACAAAAGAGAGAGACAGGTTGAGAGCAAGAGGATGGACTGGGACAGGAGACCTGCTTGGCTCAGACCCCTTACGAAAATCAGAGTGCAGTGTTGTCTGGGGATTAACTTCACCAGGGAGGGCTGAGAAGGGCAGTTGCTTAGAGGCAGTCATTCCCCTCTGGCTTTCTCTTCTCCTAGAGTGTTCCCCATTTTGATTCCAGCCATCATCATCCCTATGGAAGTGGCCCTCAGGGGTTTCTTTCTTCTCTGGAATCCCACTGTCTTCAGGAGTAGCTCTAACATTAGGGGCACAGGACACCTGCATCTTGGTCACCTGGAGGACTGCCACCTCTGTGCTAGAGATTCAGTGCAGTGTTTACCCCTCCCCCTTGCGACCCTGATGGCTAAGGTCTGAGAGTCTCTGACTTCTTTGAATCTCTGAACAAAATTAGAAATGAAGTACAGCATAGAAGTACAAACAGCACAAAATACAACTCAGTTCTAGCCTCAAAGCAGTCACGATGATTTCAGCCTCTCTGATCCTTCCCAGCTTCCAGTCCACTGCCTCTGTCCTCCACCCCCAGGCTGGTCAAGTGGTCACTCTTGTCTTACCTCCCAGCACTGACGATTCAACACTTACTAAAACTCAAAACTGTTTATGGTCAGAGTTCTTAGGGCATGGAAATCCCCATTAGTTTCAGTTTCCTACTTGAGGAATGATTTTCTCAGAAGCAACCCATCAGTAATTTGCTAGCAATGGGTGGCTTTCCCTTGTAGTCATAGGCAGTGTGTTCATTTCCTGTAGACACCCTGCATAACAGGAAGTGGCCTCAACAGGCACTGATCACAGTGTAACATGGCTTTATTCATATAAACCTGCAATAGCCAAGTAGTCTGTGAGCCTACCTCCACTTCCTGATAGAAAGTATTGTACAACAAATAGGAAGCTGGGTTTCACCATTAAATAGTTAACTGGGTTTCTGAAGAATCGATTGGATATTGACTTTTTTTCTGTGTTGGTAGTTGAACCTAGGGCCTGTGCATGTTACCCAAGACTTCTTCATCCACTGATCTACATTCCTATCCCTGACATAATATTTTAAGCCTCAATGTATACACTTTATCATTCTTTATGGCCATAATTTGGCTCCTGATTATTGCCCAGCAGCCCTAGGGTTCTGGGAGTTAAGGGAACCCATCAAGTCAAATAAAATTAAATGTGGATGACCTGATGTTGGTGTAGGAAAGACTGTTCATGTGGATAAAGGAGGCTGGACACAGAGTTTCTGCTCTTCTTCCTCCCAGATTCACCTTCTCCTTATGGGGATCGCATATTGATATTACTACATCCTCTCTTGGAATTCCTATCTCCATGCATATTGCACATAATCTGAGAAGCTGCTGGCACACTCAGATGCCTGGATGGACTTTACCGAAGTCCAGGAAATAAAAATAGGAATGCAACACAGGTACATGACCTCAGATAACTTAGTTTGCAAACAGCTCAAAAAGTGGGGAAACTAATGTTCCAGAGACGATAAGGTGTTTCTTCCTAGTCACTCTGTTAGTTGGTGTTGGAGTTGGAAGTCAAATCCAGACATTTGGAATCTTATGTCCACTGTTTAGTTTTATTCGTAACCCAGCTGTCTGATATGACAGTTTTCTTTTAATTTTTTTACTTTTGCAAAATCTCTCCCATTCCTTCTTTTCTACCTTTGCTACCAGAAATGCGGCCCTTATCAGGATAAGCTAAGAAAATCATTGAAGTGGCTTTCTAACCAGGCTCCTTCCTGGCCATTTTGCTCATGGTCACCCAAGTCACCTTCCCAAAGTATGGCTTTCATCTGTCATGTCCCTTTACCCATTCTTTCCTGACTCTCCGTGAGGGATGCTTTCACTACTTTACTTGAGTGTAGATGAACATTGCTGCCTTTTTGTTGCCTACTGATTGTCAGTTCTTACATTTCTTCAAGTCAGTACACCCAATACTGGCACAAAACAACCTCCACTAACCTTACTAATAAATAAGAAGTCTGAAACTTTGTAAATAAGGCTTATTAAGGAACATGCTAAATGTGTTAGCTTGTCATTACTATGACAAAATACCTGAGATAATCAACATTAGCAGTGAAAAGGTTTATTTTGGCTCAACAGTTTTAGAGGTTTCAGTATAAGGTCAGTTGGCCTGTTGTTTTTAGGCCTGTGGCAAGGCATATATCTTGGTAAGTGTACTTGACAGAAAAAGCCTTCACCTTATGGCCAGAAGTTTTAAAAGGAAGGAAGAAGAAGAGGCTGGGGTCCTAATATCTCCTTCAAAAGCACAATCCAATGACCTAACTTACTCACACTAGGCTCCACCTCTCAAAAGTTCCACCCACCTCCCATTAGCACCACAGGCTGGCAACTAAGCCAGTAATACAGGGGTCTTTGGTAGACACTCCAGATCCAAACTATAGCACTAAATATTAAAAGTGTTTTTAAAGATGAAATTAAAATCCATGTCTACCTACTAAACTTTTCCTCTTTTTACTACACAGAACCTCTCTTGAGAAACTAGTAAGCAATTGATTGATGACATCCATACAAATCATGGAATAATTGTCTAAATTATAATTGCTTTATCATTTCACTGTTTTTTTTTTTTTTTTGACATTCAGTTCGGCAGAAAGTTCTGGAGAAAGAGAAACATGAATTGGTCTGGCCAGGGAAAGGAACATTCAAGTTAACAGTTTGGTTGCCCACAGGCCCAGATGAAACCACAGTCATTAAGGGGAGAACACCAGCAGAGGTAAGCAAATCTGAGGAGTGATTCAAAGGGAGGGTGTTCTCCCAAGGTGTGTGGGATGGGAATCTCAGTGAAAAAAACATGGTGGGATGAGGAGTGAAAATCAAATTGGAGTGAGAGTGGCAGCTTAGAGATGTGAAGGGAGAGAGAGCACTGATGAGAAAGTATGAAATAATGAAGAAGCAGGCATTTTTCATTGGAAAGGCCAAGACTTGGGGGTTACAATAACTTTGGTTTGGGATATAAAAATTTGGGTCTGTATCTCTTGGCTTAGTTGTACCAGGGGTTGAATTTAGGGCCTTGCACTAGCTAGGCAGGTGCTCTACTACTTGAGCCACTCCACCAACCCTTTTTGCACTGGTTATTGTTGAGAGAGGGTCTTTCTTTATGCCCAGGCTGGACTGGACTGCAATCCTCCATTTGTGATTCCCCCTGTTTGTACCTAGGATGAGAGAAGTGTGCAACACACAAAGCATTGGTTGAGATGGGCGCTCCTGAACTTTTTCCAAGGCTGGCCTCGAAATACCATCCTCTCAGTCTCTGTCTCCTGAGTAGCTAGGATTAAAAACTTGAGCCACCATCCCTGGATTATTTTGGCTCTTTATAGCCTAAAACTTACCGTGGCTCTTTATAGCCTGAAACTTGCTATTTTGTTTTATTTTTGCATCATTTTGAGGGAAAACAAACTATATTACAGTTCCTCGGTTATTAGATGCTTGACAGATTATTGTGAGGATTAAATGAGATGACATCTATCAAACACATGGCACAAAGCATGTTGCATAGTACTCTCTCAATAAATGCTGAGGGGGGAAATCATAAGCTAAGCTCTTTTTCTGATTCAGGTCTTAACCCACACCCCAAACACCTGGTGTGAATCGGGGATTCTATTATTTAAGTCTCATTCTCACCAATGATTGTTGTCACTAGCAAGTGGACATGAAGTGACATGTGGCCCCAGATGCATTCAAAATCCCCACTGCAGAAGTGTTTCATTATCACTTCTGTTTGCCCTACATCTGCAGGCTGTCTGGGGATATTTTCTTGATGTAAAGAAATGATTAGTAGTATATACTGATCCAGTTTATTGTTTGATTTCAGGAATCCAAGGTGAAAGAAGATGTCAAAGAACCAGGTAAAGTCTCAGTTGAGGTAGCTCCGACCTTCACCAAGCAGTTTTGCTGTCATTAAGGAAGTCACTTGGGGATTTTCCCTCTGTACTTGGCCTGCACTACGCTGGGCTGCATCATCTTTGTCTCTGAGCCATCTGTGTGGAGGGCAGACCCTGTGGGTTCCCTTGGGCTCAAGTCAGGACCTCCTCTGGGTGCTGGGAGATGTGTGTAGTTGAAAAGTGCCTGGAAGTTGACAATGAACTGAAAGCTAGGGCCCATCCGTGCCCAGGCAGCCAATGAGAGGCCAGGACAGGACGTGGCCATGGATGCTGTGTGGCTGAGTCCTTTAGCACTGTTTTGTGAACAGTGTGTGTCATCTGAAGCCACGGCAGGGAGGAGTGACTTCTTGGTGGACAGTAGCTCCCCAACCCTTGTGCAGAAGTGGGTGCAGTGTCCCCAAGGCAGCAAGTCTTCTCACCTCAGCTCTGGTGAGAAATAGCTAGAGCGAAGTAGCCTGTGGACTCTGGCATTCAACTCGTGGCTGGGCATTGCCCTGACATTTATGAAGAAGCAACTAGTTTCCATGGCTAAACACGTTGATACAAAGGGTAGGAAATGATGAACCTCGCTGAATGCACCAAGAGTGAGAAAGCGACACATACATCCAAATCTTACGGAAATGGCATTCTTAAAAATGTGTCAGCATTGTCCTCTCGTCTTGAAATCGTCATGAACATGTGTGGTTTTCTGCACCTTTCTCTTTTTCAAACTGGCATTAGAATGAAAGCTACTTTTACTCAGCAAAATGACTGGTTAGGGACGCATAGAGTTCACCTAATATGGATGTGCTCTTACCCTGTAGACTCTTGTGAGTGTGTGTTTTTTAAGAAACCCAAGAAATTTATGAGCTAGGAATCTCTCTCTTTTTTTTGGTCCTTAGATTAATTCCTGCTTTCAAGATCCTTAAGGGATAAGATTTTGTCTGTTGCTTTCTATCCCTCAGATTTGAAATTGGCTCATAAGCTCTCAATGTTTATTATTATTATCCCTAAAATCCTTACCCTTTTATTGGAAGCCATAAGTACTATACGCTCAACCTCAAATTTAGACTAGGAAGTGGCTTTATATTTGTATATTTAAACTTGCACTATATTCCTGAATCTAAAATTTAATTGTCGGTGTTTTTGTAGTTTTGTAGATTTTATACTAACTTAGTTTTAACTGATTTGCTAGCACAGTTGGAAATTTGCTTAAAAGCCCAAGTGCATTTTCAATGAGAGCCATCCATTTCCTCTCTACCAGTGGACTTTTCATTGTCCTGGAGATTTTAGGCCCATTTTCTAGCATGTTTGTACCTGACTCAGACTTGAGGATAGTAAGCAGGTAGGAAATTGGTAGACTTCAACAGATCCTTTTGTTGGCTCCTTAAGGAAAAAAAAAAAGACGGTTTCAGAGCAAAATGCTTGTGGAGAGTAGTTACTAATCGGTCCTAAATCTCAAAGATGGGGAAGCAGAGGCTGCTCCTACAATATGGATTAGCCATGTCTGAAAGTCAATACAGAATGTTGAAAACTGCGAAGTTTGTAGGAATTGACAGCCCAGGACCTGGCACACACCAGCATCATGGATGTGAGCACAGCTGGTGTCTGCTACCAGGCTACACTTAGTCGGGCTATTCTGAAAGATGGAAATCAGCAAGTAGAAAATTTTGCAGAAGAAAGATACTGGTCACTTGTGGTCAGCAAATTCTGGAATATCCTCATCCTTATCCCCAATCTAGACTCCCATCTAAATTTTATATCATCAAAGTCAACATATCTGAAGCCAACTGTGTCGTTTTCTTCCCAAGTCAATTCCCTTTTAGGCTGCCTTAAATATTTGAAGTATATAATTAGGTTGTGCCTCACATTCTAGGAACTTCAGGCATCTCTCTCCTTAACCTTTAATATCAGTTGTTCACAGAAACCTGTTAATTTTTTAAAGTCTTTCCATCCATCCTTTTCTCACTGCTAGACCCTCTTATTACCTCACAAATTCAGCATGCGAGGAGTTCACAGTTTGGTCTGTTTCTGATACCCTTCTTCAATCCTACCAGCCCACTGCACTGTCTCTAAATATCCCATCATCCTTTCACAGAAACCTTAACTCACCCTTATCATCAACTGCAATATGAAGTCCAGAGCACATTCTGGATCTAACCTACCTTTCTGGCCTTATTTCTTATATCTCTGCACAAAAGTGTTCCTTTTGACAAACTCCTGGATGCTTTTCATTTGTCAATTAACCAAGCTGTCTTGGAATGAAGCTTTAAATAGTTATGGGGTATAAACTTTATTAATGGGAAGACTCTTACTATTCAGTTCAATTGGTCCACTGTTCTCATTTTATAATTAACAGACTTGTCCAAGATCACTTTGTTAAAGAGAGGCAGCCAGGGATTGAAAACCTATACCCTCACTCATAGCCCACTACTCATTCTAGTTGAATGGATCACACCTATCTCATTTAATGCTGCTATGTTGTCAATTATTACTTAAGTTATTTTTTATTTAGCATGAGTGTGTGCACGTCATCAGATATTCTTGTAGTAGTTCTCCAATTCAGCAAACATTTCCTGAGGCTCACTTATATACCATGTGCCAGGAATACAAGGATGAACATGTTTGAGCTTGCTTTTCAGAAGCTTACTTCTGTAATTAGAATGTAGTGCTGTGATAGAAATAAATGTCAAGTGCTATGAAGGATGAGGCAGTCTCCTTGGAGAGTCAAGACATAATAAAACTGAGCTAATAGTAATAATAAATAATAGAAGATTAAATGCTACCTTTTATTTTTTAATTCACTAAAGCAAAAAGCTGTCCTAGAACTGCTTTTAGTTGAGGTAGCCAGGTCAGAAAAGAAAGGGGTCAGGTCTTAGGATAATTTACTTTGCTAAGACCATGGTAGATGAATATAATATCTTGTGCCTCTTTTTATTTCCCAAAAACCAGGTATATCAGAAGAACTGGATACAAAATTTTCTCTCAGTAATACACCAGAAAAAATGGAAGATATCCCAAAAGAATGTGAAAATATTTCTTCTTTGGTGGCATTTGAAAATCTCCGTACAAATACGACTGACATGATGTTAACCTTACTAGTGGAGAACATAAGTGGCCTGACCAGTGATGACTTTCAGGTGGAAGTCATACGAGAGATTGATGTTGCTGTGGTTACCTTTCAAAAACATACAGGTAACGAACTATAGAAATGATCCCTGAAAGTATAGTCTTAAAATCGTATGTTCTCCCTCATATGTGGACATTAGATCAAGGGCAAACACGACAATGGGATTGGACTTTGAGCACATGATAAAGCGAGAGCACACAAGGGAGGGGTGAGGATAGATAAGACACCTAAAAAATTAACTAGCATTTGTTGCCCTTAATGCAGAGAAACTAAAGCAGATACCTTAAAAGCAACTGAGGCCAATAGGAAAAGGGGAACAGGAACTAGAGAAAAGGTTAGATCAAAAAGAATTAACCTAGAAGGTAACACCCACACACAGGAAATCAATGCGAGTCAACTCCCTGTATAGCTATCGTTATCTCAACCAGCAAAAACCCTTGTTCCTTCCTATTATTGCTTATACTCTCTCTACAACAAAATTAAAAATAAGGGCAAAATAGTTTCTGCTGGGTATTGAGGGGGTGGGGGGGAGGGGGAGGGGGCGGAGTGGGTGGTAAGGGAGGGTGTGGGGGCAGGGGGGAGAAATGACCCAAGCCTTGTATGCACATATGAATAATAAAAGAAAAAAAAACATACAGGTGAGCTCAAGTGACATTTCATTTGACAGACACTTTGCACCACACCTTGGGATTTCTCTAAAAGATTGAGTTTTTGGACTTGGGGTAGTAGCGAGTAAAAAGGACTCTAAGTTTATATATATACATATATATGTGTGTTTATATATATATATATATATATATATATATCTTTTTTTTTAATTTCAAAAGACAAGCAAATTAGTTTTGAAACCAAATTCTAGCATATTTAATAGATTGACCTTTATTGTATTATATTCTCTGTATGTGGAGAAAGCAAGAGTAAGAAAAAGAGAGAGACCAAGAGAGAGGAAGAGAGAGAGAAAACACCCTAATAGAGATCTAAAGTCTAAGGTTATTAAAGTGATTCCAAGTAAGGAGTCAGCATTTTCATGTGTTGCCTCAATGGGAGGATAAAATATTGATCTGCTACCTGCTGGGCTTACTGAAAGGTAATAATACTAACAAATATTCACAGTGGCTACTATGCATCAGGTACTATGCTAAATTCTTTACTGTATTAATTTATTTTTTCCTTTTTAACAACCTTGTGACATTACCCTCATTATCTCCCAGTCTATAATTGGGAAGACTGGCACTCAAAAGTGCCAATAAATGGAAGAACTAGATATGAACCCAGGCAGCAGGTCTCTGAAGCCTGTTTTCTTACCCACTTTATCATATATTTCCTTAGAAAATTCGTGCTCATTCACATATTCATGGATGAGTTAAGTGCATGTGATGTAGAAAACAGTGCTCTTTAAGGTCATTGTCATGAGGAAGAACATCTCCAAGTAAAACAAGGGACATTTCCAATTCCACACCCTTACTGTCCCATGGCCATGGCAGTGGAATGGTTGATTAAAACCACAGGTCATGTAGTCACAATTCTACCCCTGCCAATTAACTAGTTTATGAGGCTGGCTAAGTTGCTGAGTTTTCTGGGCCTTACTTTCCTCCTCTGTGAGCTGGGGGATAATAATACCTACCAAGTTTCTCTAGGATTAAGTGAAGTTATGTTTGAAAGGCAGTTAACATAGTAGCTAAGACATGGTAAGGATTCAGTAAGGGAAGCTATTCTTATTTCAACCTTATTGTTGTTTCTTACAAGGGAAAATATAAATGAGTTTGTTTTGATCATTGATCAAAAATCTTGAACTCCTACTGTGTTGGTCAGCTTTCTGTTAGTGTAACAAAACCTGAGATCATCAGCTTATAAAGAGAAATGGTTTATTTTGGCTAGCAGTTTTGGAGATTGCAGTCCATGTTCAGTTGGTTCTATTGCTTTTGTGCCTGTGGCAAGAAAGCACAACATGGAGGCAGCACTTTGCAAACTGTTTACCTCAAGGTTGAAAGAGAAAGAGGAAGGAGCAGAGTCCCCTCCACCCCACCCAGTGACCAGACCTCACACTAGGTCCTACCTCTGAAAATTTCTTCCACATCCCAATAGCAGCAAGTTGGAGACTAAACCTTTAACACATGGCCTTTAGGGAACATTCTAGATCTTGTGTCTAAAACTGGAGTTTTTGGCTTTCTCTATCATTCAAATTAATGGATGGACTATTTTTTTCTATATATAATATGTAGATATAACCACGAATTTCTGATGTTTTTCTTTTGTAGATACCATGAAGTTTGTTGATGATTGTACCAGGCACCATTCAATTAAAAAACTTCAGATTTCTCCAAGACTTCTAGAAATAACAAAAACAATCAGGGTTGAAAACCTGCCACCTGGTGTTGATGACTACCAGTTACAGCTTTTCTTTGAAAATCCTTTTAATGGAGGAGGAAGAGTTGCCAGTGTTGAATGTTTTCCTGAAGAGAGTTCGGCTCTGGTTGAATTTTGTGACAGAAAAGGTAACAGCTCTCAGCCTCCCACACCTGGCATAAAGTAGACTATTTTAGCAGGTCTGGTGCATTTTGCTTGTTTATCCGTATGATTTTGTCAGAAATTAAATTAGTCATCTGTACACTTGGGATATGATGTTTAATGAGGGCAGCAATTCAAACTTTAGAGAAGAAATACCTAGTTTTGAAAGAGAAGAGGAGATTCTCTAATGGGTCTCCACCTATGATTGACTGAAAAATGTATCATTTTTAGAACCATTAAATTACCATAGATGAAAAAACAATTTGATTTTAGCCATTGACATAAATTCTCAAATTAATTCCAAGAAATTTAGATTAAAACATATATATGTAAGAGTTCCTGTAAAGTTTTGCTATTTTGTATTGTACCTGTGTGTGTCATCACGTATTATTCTTCCTCTCTACTAACCTGATGTTGCCAGGATGGAATTGCTAGGCATATTAAGGTATGATGTCAGTGGTTCTTGAGTCAAACAGACCTGAGTTTGAATCTTAGCTAAACTGTGATCTTGGGCAAGTTTCTGTAACCCACCAAATCCTCTGTTTTCTTATCTATAAAATGGGTATCACATTAAATTTGCTACCTTAGAGAAATGTTAGCATAATTAAATGAAATGGTACCTGCAAAGTTTTTGGCACAGGGCTCTGCTCAGTATTATCTATTATCCCTGTTGCTGCTATGGCACAGAGCCTCTTTTAGGCCTTTGATGGTCATATTCTTTCCGTCATGCCTGACACCAGCCCTAGCTCCCGGCCACACATAAGATGAGCTTATTTTAACCTCGTTCACCATCAAAGCATTTTAATCCAAGTATTATTGGGATTCATTCTTATTCCCCTGCTGATACTTCTTGTACCTGCCTAAAAGCTAACACAAAATGAGGAGGGGCTTGGAAAAGAAAACACACACACACACACACACACACACACACACACACGGTGGGGGCTGTCCCAGTACAAGTGGCAGGAGGGAGATTGTAGCAGAGGCAGGAGAAGGTGCAGAGCTCACTGAATCATAGTCTCTGGCCTGGGCTCCCAGATGACCATGAGGACAATATTGGGTTAATAGAGGGGAAGAGCATGGGCTTTGAGGCTGACAACTGTTGAATATTAGCTCAAATATTTACCCTATTCTGTAGAATCCTGCTCAAGTTACCTAACCTTTCCCAGCCTCAGTGTTAGCATTTATGAATAGGGATGATAATAATAGTGTCTTTACCTCAAAGAGTTGTTGTGAGGGTTCCATGAATTAAATTTGTGTAAAGCACCTAGAATAGTGTCTGGCACATGGTAAACTGTCACAGTTATTACGCTTTTCCTTGTGAAAGTATTCATGGAATGTTAGTCAACTGTGAAGGCTTCATTTCTGGGACTTTACAAGAAGGAACAAATAGCATGAGACTCAGATGAATTGTACTTTAAGCACCGAAATATTCTTTACACTGTGTCAAACATCTTCCACATGCTTAGGAACACACTCTTATCTGTTTCTTAACATGGTAATAATACATCAGTGATATCAAAAAACAGAGAATAGAATTTAATTAACAGGATTTCAACATAGAGTGATTAGGGTAGAAAACAATTACTGCATTAAATAAGATCACCTATGCACTGTTAATACATAACATTTACATCTCCGTACTGTGGGGATACTTCTGGCTTTTAAAAATGTCACATCAAAGTTCTATAAACATTAGGATTTCTCTCTTCTAGGATGGAAGTTTTGTCTTCTTTGGTTTCATTTGACACATATCACATTGAGATTACCTTATTTTTATTTTTATGCCATTAAAGTGATGGACACCATCATGGACAAGAAACATAACTTCAATAAGATGCCGCTCTCTGTCTTCCCCTACTACCCCTCTTTGGGCACGGCCTTGTATGGCAAGGAGAAGCCTCTGATCAAGCTCCCAGCACCATTCCAAGAGTCACTGGATCCTGCCTTGTGGAAGTTCTTTCAGAAAGTGAATCCTCTGATTGAGGAGATAAATGATGAAATGAGAGGTTGTCACTGTGAGCTAACCTGGTCCCAAGTCAACAGTATGGTGACCATCAGACCTGCAGCCACCCTAGTCAATCAAAAAAGGCCGATGATCAAGACCTGGCAGAAAGATGCATCCACAGCACTCTCTGGCATCAGGTCTAAATATAAAGTGACCTCATTTAAAGTGGACCCAGTAGTGTGGGATGCCATAAAATATGACTTAGAAGATGATAGCATTTTGATTGAGTTTGATACACTTAAGGAGATTATTACCTTAGCAGGAAAATCAGAAGATGTCCAAAATATTGACCTGAAAATTAAGGAATTAATAAAAAGCACCATGCAAAAAATTAGAAAGGAAGAGGAAAGTCTGGAGGAAAAGGTGTGCATCTCTCCAGAAAAGTATTTTCTTTTGCAACACAGAGGCGTCCTGGAGCATCTATGCACAGAGTGCCCAGAGATGGAAATTTCTTATACTGAAGCCACTCGGTTCCTACATTTGAAAGGCCCCCGTGCAGATGTGTATAAAATAAAGTGTGAAATCCAGGCAAAGGTGTTTGCCATGGATCAGAAAAACATTCAGGTTTCTCTTGAGGTCTTCAACTTTTTACAGCAGGTAGACTGTAAGGAATTGTCTAAGCTTCTTTTTATAGAGAAGAAGATTCTTGCAACTTATGAGCTAAAGGGTAAAAGTGTTGTATTAACCAGCTTTTCTTTTGAAGACCTGGTACAAGCTGAGAAGCAAATGCTCAGTGCCTTAAATTATAAGCGCATTGAAGTTGAGGACAAGGAAGTTCTCAACAGCAATAAGTGGAAAAAGAAAATTCATGGCTTGCAAAAGAAACACAATTCCTTCATAAACATTGTGGTAACCAATGAATTAGCTGCAGGAACTCCGGCTGCGGTGACCATCACAGGCTGCATGAGAGAAGTCACTGAAATCCACAGCTTGCTTTTTGACTTCTTGGAAAAAAACATGAAAATAGAGAGATTGATTGAGGTGACGCCAACCTTGCTTATGCACTATTTAAAGGCAAACAAGAAGGACATCTTGTCAAAGATAAAGAAAGTAAATGTGCAGATAACTTTCAAGCCTGACAACAAACAAAAAGGCATTTTGCTAGTTGGCTCCAAGTGTGAAGTGCTGGAAGGTGCCAGCATCATTGAGAAAGTGCGGGATTCAGTCTGTCTTAAAACATTCCAAATTGATAAGCCAGGAGCCAGGCAATTCTTCCAGGATAAAGCAAGGTATTACAAAGGGGAGGTCAAACGGTTGTATGGCTGCTTCATTGACCTCCAGGAGAATGAAGAGCAGGAGGGGGGCAGCGCTGACGGGCACAAGTGCTTCTGTAAGAGGGATCTGGCCCCTGGCATCACGCTGATTGCACAACAGGGTGACTTGACTCAGTTTCCCGTCGATGTGGTGGTGAATGCTGCGAATGAGGAACTTAAGCATAGTGGTGGTCTTGCTGCTGCTCTCTTAAAAGCAGCTGGCCCAGAGCTGCAAGCAGAATGTGATCAGATAGTGAGTATAGAAGGCAGGCTTCTACCTGGCAATGTCACCATCTCGAAAGCAGGAAAGCTCACTTGCCACCGTGTGATCCATGCAGTAGGGCCACGATGGAAGGCAGACGAGGCACCCAGGTGTGTGTATCTGTTAAAGAGAGCTGTGGATATGAGCCTCTGTTTAGCTGAGAAATACAAGTACCGGTCCATAGCCATCCCAGCTATTAGTTCTGGAGTCTTTGGCTTTCCCTTATACCAGTGTACAGAGACCATTGTTTCATCCATCAAGGAAAACTTCCAATATAAGCCGGATGGACGCACCTTGAAAGAGATTTACCTTGTGGACCCATCTGAGAAGACTACTGCAGCCTTTGTTGAAGCTATGAAAACTATATTTAAAGATACCAGACCCAACAGAGCCTCCAAGTCCAAGACCGAATCCCTGTCCATCACATCCTCCTTGGGCCAGATAGACTCCCTGCCCAGCACAACCTCTTCTCTTTGTTTAACAGCAGAAGTCAAACCTGTAAAAATGTCACAGAAGCATTCACATCTGGTGTCCCCAGGACTGAAGATGCTGTTGGTGACAGCAGGTGTGCAGAATGCTAAGGTGAGTTTCACTAAATACAGAACACCACCAACGTGCTGTGAAGCCTCTTTGTTTATGGCTCTGTTTATAAGGGTCAAAGGAAGACAGGGATGGAAGGGAGAACCAAGGAGATAATCCCATGCCCTCCATCTCTGTCTTGAAACTGGTTTCCTTAAATAATTGGGTTACTTACCAAATCACTCACTGATTTACATTGGTCCATTACTTGTGAGAATTAAAAGGGTATTGAAATCAGCTTGTAGGTTGTCAATAAATATGAAAACCCATAGTGATATCTTACATTTAGATGCCTCCCTATACATTTTCATTGCCTTTACGCTTGCCATATTTTAGTAAATCTGATTTGGTTTCATGTTAAATTTATTGACCACAGATATAAAGCAGAGCATTTGGGATGCAGAGGACAGGAATCTTGTCAATGGAACTGAGCAAGTGTGATCTTGGGACCAGAATCTGAGAGACCATTAGCACCTATACCAGTTTGTTGGTCCTACATGGGGAGGGAGGAGGGTAAGTGGACCTGAGGAAGGTTCAGATACCAGATATTAGGCAGGAACAATTCTTTAGTCTGGAGGGGGTGGTGGTTAGAGGGTTAATATGATTTTGAAAAGGTATTTAACACCCTTTCCAACACAAGCTGTACCTAAACAAAACAACAGCCATCCTGAGGAGGATCTGAGCCCTCCTACTGAGCTGAGCTGCACTTCTTCAACTGGAGGACTAGGGGAAGTCCTAGGGGAGGGATTCCTGGTTGGGTGTGGAGGGAGGTGGTGAGCATTGGGGGCAAGGCACCTACTAACCAACCAAAAGCAGCATTTCTCTGGCTTGTAAAACTAGACTGGCCATATGTGTGTCTTCTAGTGAACATTAGCCCCAGACTTCCTCTGCTGGCTTCAGACGGGCTTAAGAAGTACTCAAGCTGCCAAAGAGAACATGGGGCACAGGCTAGGTGTAAACGAGGCCTCCTGTCTCTCGTTTACAGTTCTGAGCTTATTTTGCTTCTTTGTTTTCTTTCTTTCTTCCTTTCTCTCTCTCTCTCTTCCACTTTCTAAAAAAGACTTATTAGCGTAATGCTCCTAAAAGAAAACAGGCATCACAATATAATAAAAATTTTAATCAAGCTTCAACGTTTTATTTTAAAAACGGTGACACTTGTTTTCATCTTTAAGCAGCAAACAGTTTGGTGTGTTTTACATGATATGAAGTGAAATGAACTAGATTTAGTAAGCCTGTGAAATGTTTTGCTTTTTTTTAATTTCAAGAAATTAACCATCCATCAAAATGCTGTCCAATGTAATGTGATAGCCAGTGATATACTTTCATCACTCCAGAAAGGAACCTGTGCTCAATATCAGTCACTCCTTTCCATTGAGCCACCGTCCCACCTCCCTAAGCCTAGACGACCACTAATATTCTATTTTTCTACAGATTAGCCGGTTCTGGAAATTTCATATAAATGAAATCATGCAATTAGTGATCTTCTGTGACTGGCTTGTTTCACAGAGAAGAAAGTTTCCAAGGTTCATTTATGCGTTGAAGCATGTATCAATACTTCATTGCTTTTTACGGCTGGGTAATATTTCATTGTATGGGTAAACATTTTGTTTACCCAATCATCAGCTGTAGATTGAACTCAGGGCCTTATACTTGCTAGACAAGTGCTCTTCCACTTGAGCGAAGCCCAGTTCCTGTACTTTGAATTTTTATCAGTCTTGTTTCTTTGAACCTGTATTTGCAAAATGTGTATGAACCAGTTTCTGTTGTTGTTGCTATACTCTTGAGAATATACCTAGCAGGAACATGGCTGGGTAATGTGGTAACTCCATATTTGACTTCCAGGAACTGCTAGGCTATTTCCAAAAGCAGTTATATAATTTTATATTCCAGACAGCAAAGATGAGCAGTTCAGTTTCTTCAAATATTTGCTAAATTTTTGCATTATTTATCCTTTTATTATAGCCATGCTAGTGAGTAAAGTAGTATCATATACTGTGGTTTTGATTTGTATTTCCCTAATGACTAATAATGTTGAACATATTTTCACGTGTCTTTTGGCCATTTATATATCTTCTTTGGAGATATGCCTCTTTAGATGCTTTGTCCACTATTACATGAGGTTGTCTTTTTATTATTGAATCTTAAGTTTCCTTATATATTTTGGAAACAGATTCAATATCAGATATGTGATTTGCAAATATTTTCTCCTATTATGTGGGTCAAGTTTTCTTCTATTCAGTTCAAATTGCTACTTTTTTAAAAAAATCTTGTTTCAGTTTAAAATAGTGTACTAAAAGATTAATTTGATTTCTATTTGTAGTAAACTTAGGTAGTAATTACAAGAATCATGGCTAATATTGATTGTTACTTTGTGTCAGATATTGTGCTAAGTTTTGACATGCATTTTCTCATTCATGCCATGAGGTAGATTCTAGGGCGCTATTCTCACTTCACAGACAAGGCAGTGGGACTTAGAGGGATGAAGTAATTTGCCAAGTCCCATAGCTAGTAACTGGGTAAATGCAGAATTGGAATTTTTCCAAGTTCTTAATTATTGCACTATTTCAAAATCTTGAAAATAATTTTGTTTCTCATTATAAAAACCAAACAAATAAACAAAATGCTCTTACACCAAGAGTCAAGAATGGGAATAAGTTCCATTCATTGTCCCCACTTGAAACTGAACATGAAGATGTTCTTTCCATTCCTTTTCTCCCAAGGTGTGTGGCTTCCACTGCCACAGTAACTACTGTGCTTACTCCTCAGAGACCCATACAGAGGGGCACATTTCTTCTCCTCTTTCCTCTCTGCCTCTCTAAATCCAGTCTGATTATCTGTTCACATGCACTCCAATGGAAAAGCTTCCATGGTCGCTCACTGTGTTTGGCGTGGCACACAAGGTGGGCCATCTGCAGTCTACACCAGGGTGCCATGTCTACCCTGGCTGGCAGAAGCTCTCCATCAGCGCAGACCAACGTGCTCACAGCTCGCAATCCACCATGAGTAATGCAGGCTGTTCCCTGGTGCTCTCTGCCTGCTGCGACTATTCCCATTTCTCAGGCTCCATATTGCCTGTGGCATCTTCACCAGGCACTGAAGGGCCTTCTTCCGGACTTCTCAAGTCATCCCATGCCATAGAAATGTTCTTTTCTGACATCTCTCTTTTGTCCTAGAGATTTGCAAAAAAGTATTTAGCAACACTTTGTCTTGGATTGGTATTTCAGTCTCCAAAACCTTAATCATCTTCATTATCCCCCATTTTGCCAAAACCAGTGGCTCCAATGGAGTCATGGATGATGAATACCATCTGCGAGTCTTTTAAACAAATCTTCGGTTTTGTCTTTAAGACCCAGGTCATCGTCAATTCCATTCCCTCGGATCTTAGGCTCAACAGAGGGCCCCTTTCTCAGGCCCTCTTGGAAAAAGCAGGACCAAAGCTCCAGAAGGAGTTGGACGCTGCTGGACAAGGAGTCACTGTCAATGTGGGCACAATTCTTCAAACCAGTGGTTGTAACCTGCACTGCAGTCATGTGCTTCATGTGGTGGCTCCAGAATGGGGAAATGACAGCACATTTTCACGACAGGTAGGGCTTTTTTTTTTCTTTTATTCATTTATGCATACAATGTTTGGGTCATTTCTCCCTCCTTCCCCCTGCCCCCTCCCTTACCCTCCCACCCCTTTCTTCTCCCCTCCCACGCCCTCTCTACCAGGCAGAAACTATTTTGCCCTTATCTTTAATTTTGTTGAAAAGAGAGTATAAGCAATAATAGGAAGGAACAAGGGTTTTTGCTAGTTGAGATAAGGATAGCTATACAGGGAGTTGACTTGCATTGATTTCCTGTGCATGTGGGTTACCTTCTAGGTTAATTCTTTTTGATCTAACCTTTTCTCTAGTTCCTGGTCCCCTTCTCCTATTGGCCTCTGTAGCTTTAAATTATCTGCATTAGTTTCTCTGCCTTGAGGGCAACAAATTCTATCTAGTTTTTTGGGTGTCTTACCTATCCTCATACCTCTCTTGTGTGCTCTCACTTTACCATGTGATCAAAGTCCAAGCACCTTGTTGTGTTTGCCTTTGATCTAATGTCCTCATATGAGGGAGAAAATACGATTTTTGGTCTTTTGGGCCAGGCTAACCTCACTCAGAATGATGTTCTCTAGTTCCATCCATTTACCAGCAAATGATAACATTTCATTCTTCTTCATGGCTGCATAAAATTCCTTGTGTATAAATACCACATTTTCTCAATCCATTTGTCAGTAGTGGGGCATCTTGGCTGTTTCCATAACTTGGCTATTGTGAATAGTGCTGCAGTAAACATGGGTGTGCAAGTGCCTCTAGAGTAACTTGTGTCACATTCTTTTAGGTATATCCCCAAGAGTGGTATTGCTGGATCATATGGTAGATCTATGTTTAGATTTTTAAGAAGCCTCCAAATTTTATTCCAGAGTGGTTGTACTAGTTTGCACTCCCACCAGCAGTGTAAAAGGGTTCCTTTTTCCCCACATCCTCGCCAACACCTATTGTTAGTGGTGTTGATAATGATGGCTGTTCTAACAGGGGTGAGGTGGAATCTTAGTGTGGTTTTAATTTGCATTTCCTTTATTGCTAGAGATGGTGAGCATTTTTTCATGTGTTTTTCGGCCATTTGAATTTCTTCTTTTGAGAAACTTCTGTTGAGTTCACATGCCCATTTCTTTATTGGTTCATTAGTTTTGGGAGAATTTAGTTTTTTGAGTTCTCTACATATTCTGGTTATCAGTCCTTTGTCTGATGTGTAGCTGGCATATATTTTCTCCCACTCTGTGGGTGTTCTCTTCAGTTTAGAGACCATTTCTTTTGTTGAGCAGAAGCTTTTTAGTTTTATGAAGTCCCATTTATCTATGCTGTCTCTTAGTTGCTGAGCTGCTGGGGTTCCAGTGAGAAAGTCTTTGCCTATACCTATTAGTTCCAAAGTATTTTCTACTCTTTCCTGTACCAACTTTAGAATTTGGGGTCTGATATTAAGATCCTTGATCCATTTTGAGTTAATTTTGGTATAGGGTGATATACATGGATCTAGTTTCAGTTTTTTGCAGACTGCTAACCAGTTTCCCCAGCAGTTTTTGTTGAAGAAGCTGCTTTTTTGCCATCATATATTTTTAGTGCCTTTGTCAAAAACAAGTTGGTTATAGTTGTGCGGCTTCATATTTGGGTCCTCTATTCTGTTCCACTGGTCTTTATGTCTGTTTTTGTGCCAGTACCATGCTGTTTTTATTGCTAGTGCTTTGTAATATAGTTTGAAGTTGGGTATTGTGATACCTCCAGCATTGTTCTTTTGATTAAGTATTGCCTAGGCTATTCGTGGCCACTTGTGTTTCCATATAAATTTAATAGTAGATTTTTCAATCTCTTTGATGAATGTCATTGATGGGAATTGCATTAAACATGTAGATTGCCTTTGGGAGTATATACATTTTTACTGTGTTGATTCTACCAATCCATGAGCATGGGAGATCTCTCCACTTTCTAAAATCTTCCTCAATCTCTTTCTTCAGACGTTTATAGCTTTCCTTGTAGAGGTCATTCACATCCTTTGTTAAAGTTTACACCTAGGTATTTGATTTTTTTAGAGGCTATTGTAAATGGTATTGTTTTCATATACTCTTTCTCAGCTTGTTCATTATTAGTATATAGAAATGCTAATGATTTTTCTATGTTGATTTTATATCCTGCTATCTTGCTATAGCTATTGATGGTGTCTAGGAGCTTCTGAGTAGAGTTTTTTGAAGTCTTTAAGGTATAGGATTATATTGTCTGCAAATAGGGATATTTTGACAGTTTCTTTACCTATTTGCATTCCTTTTATTCCTTCTTCTTGCCTAATTGCTCTGGCTGGAATTCCAGTACTATGTTGAATAGGAATGGAGATAGTGGGCATCCTAGTCTTACTCCTGATTTTAAAGGGAATTGTTTCAGTTTTTCACCATTAAGTATAATGCTGGCTGTAGGTTTGTCATATATAGCTTTTATAATGTTGAGGTACTTTCCTTCTATTCCTAGTTTTCTTAGTGCTTTTATCATGAAATGGTGTTAGATCTTATCAAAGGCTTTTTCTGCATCTATTGAGATGATCAAGTGGTTTTTGTCTTTGCTTTGTTAATGTGGTTTATTACATTTATTGATTTTTGTATGTTGAACCACCCCTGCATTCCTGGATGAAGCCTACTTGGTCGTGGTGAATAATCTTTTTGATGTGTTGTTGAATTCAGTTTGCCATGATTTTATTGAGGATTTTTGCATCAGTGTTCAAAAGGAGATTGGCCTATAGTTCCCCTTTTTGGAGGTGTCTTTGCCTGGTTTTGGGATAAGTGTAATACTGACTGCATAAAATGTGTTAGGAAGTTTTCCTTCCCTTTCTATTTCGTGGAATAGTTTAAGGAGGGTTGGTATCAGTTCTTCTTTAAAGGTCTGATAGAATTCAGCAGAGAATCCATCAGGTCCTGGACTTTTCTTTTTGCAGAGACTCTTGATTGCTGCTTCAATTTCATTTTGTGTTATAGATCTATTCAGGTGATTAATTTCCTCTTGGTTCAGTTTTGGATGATCATAAGATTCTAGAAATCTGTCCATTTCTTCAAGATTTTCAAATTTATTTGAGTATAGGTTCTCAAAGTAGTCTCTGATGATTTCTTTGACTTCCATGTTATTTGTTGCTATCTCCCTTTTCGCATTCCTGATTTTACTGATTTGGGTTTTTTCTCTCCTCATTTTAGTCAGGTTTGCCAGGGGTCTATTAATCTTGTTTATTTTTTCAAAGAACCAACTTTTTGTTTCATTAATTCTTTGTATGGCTTTTTTAGTTTCTATTTCATTGATTTCAGCTCTTATTTTTATTATTTCTCTCCTTCTGTTTGTTTTGAAATTTGCTTGTTCTTGTTTTCTAGGAGTTTGAGATGTATCATAAGGTCATTGATTTGAGATCTTTCAGTCTTTTTATTATATGCATTCATGGCTATAAACTTTCCTCTCAATACTGCCTTTGTTGTGTCCATAGGTTCCAGTAGGTTGTGTTTTCATTTTCATTGACTTCCAGGAACCTTTTGATTTCCTCTTTTATTTAATCAATGGCCCATTGTTTTTTAAGCAATGAGTTATTCAGTTTCCAGTTGTTTGCATGTTTTTTGTCTTTATTTTTGTTGTTCTAGTTTTATTGCATTGTGATCTGATAGAATGCATGGTATAATTTCTATTGTCTTATACTTGCTGAGGCTTGCTTTGTGCCCTAGGATATGATCTATTTTGGAGAAGGTTCCATGAGCTGCTGAGAAGAATGTATATTGTGTAGAAGTTGGATGAAATGTCCTGTAGACATCAACTAGGTCTATTTGATCTATGGTATGTTTTAGATCTTGGATTTCTTTATTGATTTTTTGTTTGGATGATCTATCTATTGATGATAATGGGGTGTTAAAGTCTCCCACGACCACTGTGTTGGAGTTAATATATGCTTTTAGGTCCTTCAGGGTATGTTTGATGAAATTGGGTGCGTTGACATTGGGTGCATACAGGTTGATAATTATTATTTCCTTTTGGTCTATTTCCCCTTTTATTAGTATGGAATGTCCTTCTTTATCTCATTTGATCAATGTAGGTTTGAAGTTTACTTTGTCAGAGATAAGTATTGCTACTCCTGCCTGTTTTCAGGGGCCGTTGGCTTAGTAAATCTTCTTCCGACCTTTCATTCTAAGCCTATGCTTATTTCTATCAATGAGATGGGTCTCCTGTCAGCAACAAATTGTTGGATCTTCCTTTTTAACCAGTTTGTCAAATGGTGCCTTTTGATGGGGGAATTAAGTCTGTTAACATTAAGTGTTAGTACTGATAGGTATGTTGTGATTCCTGGCATTTAGTTGTCTTAGTTATTTGAGTTTGATTGTGTGTAGCTAAATCGATGTTACTCTCTACTTTCTTGCTTTTTCTTTTCCTGTAGCTTGGTACTGCCACCCTTTCATGATTACGTTGGTTTTCACTTTCTGTGTGCAGAATCCCTTGAAGAATCTTTTGTAGTGGTGGCTTTGTGGTCACATGTTGTTTTAGTTTCTGCTTATCATGGAAGACTTTTATTGCTCCATCTACTTTGAATGATAGTTTTGCTGGGTAGAGTATCCTAGGGTTGAAGTTATTTTCATTCAGTGCCTGGAAGATCTCACCCCAAGCTCTTCTTGCTTTTAATGTTTCTGTTGAGAAGTCTGCTGTGATTTTGATGGGTTTACCTTTGTATGTTATTTGTTTTTTCTTTCTTACAGACTTTAGTATTCTTTCTCTAGTCTCTGTACTTGTTTTAATGATAATATGTTGTGGGGTAGTTCTATTTTGGTTAGGTCTGTTTGGAGTTCTAAAGGTTTTCTGTACCTGTATGGGCATAGTTTTCTCTAGACTTGGGAAATTTTCTGTAATTATTTTGTTGAATATGTTACTCATTCCTTTTTCTTGCATCTCTTCTCCTTCTTCAATGCCCATGATTCTCAGGTTTGGTCTTTTGATGGAGTCTGTAAGTTCTTGCATTTTCTTTTCACAGGTCTTTAGTTGTTTAACTAATAGTTCTTCTGTTTTTCCTTTAATTACCATTTTGTCTTCAAGTTCTGAGATTCTGTCTTCTTCTTGTTCTAGTGCTGGATTGGCCTTCCATTTTGTTTTGCATTTCTGTTTCATTCTTTTTTCTGAGGTTTTCCCTATCCTGAGTTTCTTCCTCTTTAAAATTGTCTATTTTCATCCTGAGTTCATTTATCTCTTTATTTATCGTGGTCTTTGTTTCACTTTGGTGTTTATACAGTGCTTCTATGGTTTCTTTTATTTCTTCTTGTGCTTTCTCAAATTCTCTATTTTTGTTGTCTTGGAATTTCTTGAGTGTCTCCTGTACATTTTGGTTGACCCTATCCAGTATCATCCCTATAAAATTCTCATTGATTACTTGCAGGATTTCTTCTTTTAGAGTGTTCTTGTGGGCTTCATTGGGTTCTTTGGCATAGTTTATCTTCGTTTTGTTAAAGTCTGGATCTGGGTATCTGATTTCTTCATTTCCCTCTGGCTCCTGTACTAATTTATTATTGGGGAGAAAATGATTTCCCTCTTTTTTCCGTCTTCCCATCATTGCCCTTGCTATTGTTACTGTTCCTATACTATGTGTAATTCAGTATTGTTAGCTTGTAATAACAATGGTGATATCTAAAATGGAAGTGTAAGAGGAGAGAGAAAGCAAAGAAGGTAAATAAAAAGGGAAAAGAAAACAAAACAAGCAACCAACAAACAAAAAAAACCCTAAACAAACGAACAAACAACAACAACAAAAAAAACAAAGCCAAAGAAATAAACAGGGAGAGATAGTGTACTAATCAACAGTAAGCTAAACAGGCATTAGAGAGACAGAGAGAGGATAATGAAAATAAAAAATTTTTAAAAAGACAAAAAAATCACAAGTTCAAATGTAATAAAGTTTCAGTCTTAATAATTTTGGTGTTAGTCCTTCAGCATCCAGTCCTGAAGACTTCTCAGTGACTGTGAAGTAGTTCTGTCGTTTTCTCATCAAAGAGGAAAAAAACCAAAAACCAAAAACAAACAAAAAAATCCCAAGTTCAAATGCAATACAGTTTCAGTTAGTCCTTCAGCATCTGATGTTGTTGTCTCATCAAAGGAAGAGGAAAAAAAAGGTGGGGGGAGTCTGGAGACAGCTTTGTAATGGCTATCTGAGGCTGTGGTTCACCTGCCTCCTACTGTCAGCCATCTGCTGTTGCAGGCTTTGTTTATTTAGAGTTCTCCTGGATGCATGTCCCTGTTGTTTTCTCCAGTATACAGCTCTACCCGCCTTTTGCAACTGCCATCTTTTTTGGATGAGGAGTGGCCATCCCCTCCTCCAGTGGCGCTTTCCACATGACAGCCGTAGTTACAAGCCTTCCCCTCTGCAAGCACACTGGGGGAGGTGGCGCCACTCCTGCCTTCTCTGGCCGGCTTGTTTATTTACAATTCTTGTGAGGGAGTGCCCCTCTCCCACTCTCTGGGGCTTGGGGTGCCCTGCCCTCTTTGCTACATGTCTTTTTATTTATTTATTTTTCCAGCTGCTTGTTTATTACTTAGTTTGGTTTTTTCTCTTTTTTTTCTCCTTGGGTGGGGGTCAGTCTGTCCAGGGGGCTATGCTGATCTGGCCCAGCGTTGTTTGTGGGAGTACCACGTGCCACTTAGCTCACCTGGTGGTCTGCGACTTCCCAAGCAGTCTGGGCACTGGCATCTGGTGGCAGCATGGGAGCCCTCCTGGTTTCTCCATTTAATGTGAAGTGGAGATGCTATGCACAGGCTGGGGGTGTGGAAGAGTCAGAGTTTTGCCTCTTCTTGGTGGTTTTTCCTGCAAGGTGTGTCTCCAGTGTCTCTCCAAGATTTTACTTTAGGAAGCATGATTTCTGCTTCCTCCCTCTAGTCACCATCTTGGAATCTCCTCAGGGCTTGGTTTTAAATTGTCCAGAAAATGGGGTAATATTTGAACTCTCCTTTCAGTATAGGTTAGATGCTGCCTACTTCTCTTCTATAACAATATCACACTTCGGCCAGTTCCATCGTTATGGTCATTGCTTTCAGCTGTGGCTGACATCTTGCTGGACTAGTTAATAATATAAATTGATTGCGCTCAGTAACTACTGGGGTAAGAAGCTATTGAAAATTTTCCTACTTTAGTCAGAAAAGTGAGGCAAGGCCTGAAAATGGAAGACAATGGAGGACAAGCACATTTGCTGCTTTTCTGCCTTCTTTCATGGCAGAGTGAGTTTGAACCATCGTAAAGAGTCTCCCACATTCTCTTTTCCTTTTCCTTTTTTTCTTGCATTTTTCTTTCCTCTTCTAACTATACTTAACCTCTGTGGATGATCACAAAGTTTGTTAATTCTTGTTTCCTTGGTTCTAACTCCCATTTCTAGGCAAGACATGTACGAATGTGCTTTTGTGCTTTTCAGATCATGGAAGACATAATCAGAGGCTGTTTGGAGATCACTGAGAAATTATCTTTACAATCAATTGGATTTCCAGCAATAGGAACAGGAAATCTGGGATTTCCTAAATCTTTATTTGCAGAATTAATCATTTCAGAAGTGTTGAAATTTAGCAGCAAGAACCAACTGAAATCTTTACAAGAGGTTCAATTTTTGGTCCACCCAAAAGATCATGAAAATATCCAGGTACAATCATGACTCATTTCTGATTAATTTCACAACCTGTGTTTGGGAAAATAATGTTTCAAAATGTATTCTTGGTCTAATAGGATGCTTCTTTCATGTATTTTCCACATAGTAAAGTAAGAGTAGTGTTAACTAATTGCAGTATGACAAGTTTTGGGAAAAATTACGGATATTGAAAAAAATTAATTTTTTATTTAGAAAAATTTTAAACACATACATAAGTATTTTTAATAATTCACTTCCTCATATCCATTATTTAACTTCAACCATTATCAATCTATGGATATTGTGTTTGATCCCTATCTCCACTTATTTCCCTTCTTCTCATGATTTTGAATCAAATACAAGAAATACAGTTTTATCCCTAACAACAGAGCAATTTATTTTAAGTAAGGATTCTTTTTAAAAAAGTAACATTATTACAGTATTATATCATATCTGAAAGAAGTTTTGCAATAATTCCTTTTACTTGATCAGTTATAATATCAGTGTTCAAATATCTCACTATCATAATTTTTTATTTTGTCTTTATAGCTTTGTGTTTGAATCAGAATCAACACATATTATAATGAAGTAACAGATTTCATAAGAGTCTTTCAACCTTATAGGATTTCCTTCCACATGGATATAGAATGTTAATACATGATATAAAATCACAGTTGTGGCATTATCAATAAGAGGATGTAAGGATGAGAGACAAGTGGTTCCTGTTTCTTATTCCAGGAAATGCAATGAATTATAAGTGAAAGGTGTGGTTAGAATGCATCAGCATTTACCCATCAGAGGAGGAAATTTGGGACCATCTTCAGTCATAGTTTGTCAATCAGCTCACATTTACTGAATGTCAGCTGTGGATGAGCCACTAGACTTGGAATTATGGGAGAACCAGACACATTTAAGTCCTTCTCCCTGCCCTCCATGTCTTTATAATCCAGGCGAGTAGATGGCATTAAATGTCTGAAAAGTTCCATAATATTACAAGAATTTAACTGATTAAAGCCAGCATCCTAAGAGATGTCCATGGATTATTGGACCATCTGTATTTTTAGGTTATAGTTTAATATTTTTCTGGACCTAGATACTACTTATCAGTTCTTTGGAAGCAAGCACACTCAACAACATTCCCACCAGGCACCAAAGCACCTGAGTAAGCATGTGAATCATTTACTTGGCCTATATAATTAGTTACTTCTACTCAGTAAAAGAGCTTTTATCAACCTCCCTCTGACTTACATTGTATGAGAATATGTGGGTCGTGGAACACAGTATGTAGCACATACTCTCTCTCCTATAAATTATAATTACTTTGGGAACTTAACTTCATATAGAAGAGCAAACAATTAGAGGCATGAGGTGTTGAGCATTTTCGAATGAATGAGTGGCAAGGCATGTGAGTCCTGTGACACAGAACCAAGCCTGTAAATCTCACTATTTTCTGGGCAAAACCAGATTTCATTTTCTTTCCTAATCATGGAGAGTACATGTCATGTATTCTGAAAAACGGATTAGTTTTACAGATACCATTAATACTATTCAAAATACTATTGATTCTCAATACACGACCTTTAAGATTTTTAAAGATAGTTAAACTTCCATTGCATTTTCACAAAGAGAGAAACTTATTGAGATGTTTGTAAGTGGAGACTATAGTAGAGGCTGCACTAAAGCTCTCCATGGTCTGAACTCATGCGCTTTATTTGGGCTATATTTTAATTTCAATTAGTGGATAATATTTGAAAACCAAAAAATTTCACATAAAACTACACATGACCAAAATATGATCTTATCTCAAATTTCAAAAGTTCTAAAATGCTGGGCAGGAATTCCTTCTTGGGAAAATTTGCTGTGGCTGACTAGCAAGTGCTCTTTAGATCTCCAGACTTAAATCAGTCTGCTTTTACTATGCACTTTACCTGTCTGGCCTCTGGAGGCCTCTGAGTCTGAGATCCTCATGCAGTAATCTTTCCCCATGCTTCTCCCACCACCCTATCAGTCTTTAGCTGGATGTTGATTTTTTTCCCCCAAATTCTCTGTTGTTTGTCTATAAGGAAAAAGGAGTAATGACTTTGTAGTGTTACTACCAGGCCAAAAATAAAAACAAAAAAAAAAAGAGAAATTCATGATTTCATTAACATTGGAATACACTCACTAGCCTCTTGCTCTGCAAGTCACTACTCCCTACCATTTCTCTCCTGATACAATTAACTGTACACGTCTGTGGTGTTATCACCATGAACTCTCCTTGTATTATCAATGTATGCTAACTCAGTTTTTAAAAATAATTTCCCTGGGGGAATAAAAAGTTTAAAACTCAAATGTTTGGGACCTTGAGATTATTTTTCTCTTAATTCTGTGTGTGGGGGGGGGATGTTGTTGTTTGTTGTTTTGTTTTTATTTTTTATAAATTGACCAGTTGTTTGCTTTTACTCATTAGGAAGGTAATCCATTTTCATTGTAGAAACTTTGAACAATACAAAATGCACAAATTTTCTGACTGTCTTTCGTCCCAGTCTTCTTTGCTTCGTGTACGTTTTAAAGTGAGAACATATGTAATTGAAAATCCTTCTTTATTCATTTAATAGCATGAAGTGAATATTTCCCTATTCTATTAAATATCTTTGAAAATAGGATTTTAAATGGCTGATAAATACATGGATGTATCAAAACTTATTTAACTATTTCCCCTTTGGATTTTAACTGTTTTGGTTTTTTCTCTATTATGAATAACACAGCAATGAATATCTTTGTATTTATATCTTTGCTCAAATCTTTGATAATTTTCATAGGAGTACTTGTAGAAATGGAGTTATATGTATTGTTTTTGTAACTTTAAAGACGTAAAGGCTGGAAATGTGGTAAAGAGGTGGAGCACTTGCCTTGCATACTTGAAACCTTAAGTTCAAACCCAGTACCCCAAAACAAAACAAAACACTATGAAAAAATTAAATAGTACTGTTTGAGAATTGTTCTTTTCTAAGTATGTAAGTGCATTAAATTCAATGATCAACTGAGTAATATAATGGTCAAAACTGTGTTTGTATTTCTAGGTATTTTCTGATGAATTTTCCAGAAGGAATAATGGAAATCTTAGTGAGAAAATTTCCCAAGTTGAAGACACACAAGGTTCAGTAAAGCTTTTAAATTAACAAATGATTCCTAATTGCTAAATAACCATTCAGTGACAAGTAAGATGGTAGTATTAACTCTTCTAACAAAAACTGAGTGACAAATAACAGTAAATTATGTTCCATAAACCTACTGACCATGTTTACATGATCTGGGGCAAAAGAGAAGGTGGAACAAATTATATGATCATACAACAGATTTTTAAGTAGTGACAAGACTACTTTCAAAGGACAACCTGACATGTATTTTTAAAATAGACACATTAAGTGACAATATCAACTAAATGCTCTTCCTCTGTCAAATCTGCTTTATACTGTTTGGGGATCACAGAGACTTTTCTAGTGTCTCACTGTGCTGCCAGGCAGGCCTTCAACTCCTAGGCTCAAGTGATCCTCCTTGCCTCAGCCTCCTAGGTAGCTGGGACTGCAGGTACGTGCTACAGTGCCTGGCTTCAATGAGGCTTCTTAAATTTAGAAGTGTATGCCTTCCATCAACTTTGAGAAAATTTCAATTACTACTTCCTTGAATAGGTCTCTGAGTAGCTGTTCTTTCCCCAACCCCTTACCCCTTATTCCTCTCTTTAGATTGGATAATTTATACTGATCTGTCTTCAAGTCTTCTCTCCATCTGCTATGCTATTGAACTCACCCAGGGAATTTTTTATTTCAGATAGCACATTTTTATGTTCTAAAATGTCCATTTTTGTCTATTTTGTACAGTTCCTATTTCTCCATGAAGAGTGCCTATCCTTCTTTTCATTTCAAATCATTTCCATTCATTTTAATGTGTTTACTCTAACCTCATGGGTCATTGTTACAGTAGATACTTTAAAGTCTAAAAATTCCAATACCTGGATCACTTTGGGACTGGCATCTACTGTTGTCTTTATGCTCAAGAGTTGATCATTTTTCCTGGTTTTTTATGTAGCAAGCAATTTTAGAATATAGGCAGGACATTCTGAATATTATACCATGAGACTTGGGTCCTGTGAAAACCCTCTGGAGAATGGTGGTGGTTTTTCTTATTTAACAAGCAAGCAGTTAAGTTCATTCTGCAATGCTGTCTCACTTTCTGGGTGGGCAGGGGTATAATGTTATTTTAGTTGTCTACTACTAGATGCTACTTTGGGCATGCCCACACATGGCAGTTCTGGAGACACTCAGGACTTACTCCAATTCCTATGTAGAAATAGGGGCTCCCCTTCTCCAGGGCTCACCTTTCTGTGATTCCCTTCCACTCTCTGGCTTGCAGAGCGCATTTTCCAAGTCCTTTGACCACAGCGACAAGAATGTCTCAGAGTTCAAGCTGCCTGTTGTGTTGCCTCACCCTTCATCACACATGCACACTGTTCAGATCACAGGCCCTTTCCTTGATTCTTCTGGCTGGAAATACAGAATGCGTATCAGAGTGTTGGTTCTCTGTGTGCCAGTGCAGAGTTCTGCATGTGGGTTCACTTTTTTCAAAGGCCTGGATTAAAGTTCCCTGTATGGTGGTACCTGCCTGTGATCTCAGCTAATTGGGAGACTGAGGCAGGAGGTTCTTGAGTTCATGGTTAGCACAGACAAAGTGTGACCCTCTCTCAAAAACAAAATTCAATCACAATATTGTGGGTAGTAAGGGAGGGGGTAGGGGCAGGGGAGAGAAATGACCCAAGCCTTGTATGCACATATGAATAATAAAACAATAAAAAAAAAACAATATTGTGGGTATGGCTCAAGTGGTAGAGGGATTGCCTAGCAAGTGTGAGACTGGATTCAAACCCCAGTGCAGCAAAAAAGAAAACAACAATAAAAAAAAACCTTTGTGTATGCATGTGTGTGCATGTTCATGTGCGTGTAAAAAAAAAGAAGGCTTTCCTCCCATGGTCTTCAATTCACACAAACCCTGTCCCAGTCACACAAAGAGAAGACGACATGTCTGAATTTTGCTGCCCATCAGGCAGTTCTGCAACTGGAGCCACCCTGGGGTCAAAACTCGGCGAGAAAAATAAGAGAAATTTAAAAATCAAACAGAATGGGAAATTCCCTGTACAGGTTTCTTCTTTAAGCTTTGACTTCCTTCCCTAACTTGCCTGCTGCTGATAACTTTTCAGAGTCCTAAGGTGGTGGCATTTGGAGTTCATCCTGAGTTTTTGGTTGTACTTATGGGAGAGGATCTAGTGGTCTCACTTCACTTCCACCAGAGCAGACACTATGTTTGATATGAATTGTATTTCCTAATCCTTTTCTGGAAATGGACCGTCACTGGGGCTCAGGGATAGGGGTAGTGCAAAGGCTAAAGGTCACACAGAGAAAAGAAAACCCACGGAAAGGGGTGCATGTAAGCAGCCTGAGACCCAAGTCGTTCTTACTCTTGCTGACTTGGTGATTGGCTCCACTTTTTTTCTTGGCAGGTTTCTATGGGGCTGTCTCTAACCCTACTTTAGGAGTGTATGAAATGAAGATTGGCCCCATCCTCTTCAAGGTGGCATCTGGTGACATCACCAAAGAAGCAGCAGATATAATTGTAAATTCAACATCAAATACATTTAACCTCAAATCAGGTACTTCACTCATATGATTTTGACTAGTGTAATAATTAACAAGGTAGATCCTATGAAAGAGAGTTTCAGTAGCCATACTGGTTTTGATGAGATGGGCTTGCTTATATTAATTAATAATTTCAAAATATTTTGACAGTTTCCTACAATTGGTAAGTTATTTTATGAATTTTTGTTCGTTGCTATCAGTAATACCCAGATACAGGACTCCTTTGATGATAATGAGGCAAATTTTCTAATCCAATTATACTGTAGTGATTTCTTTTTGTTTATTTCTATCTTGATTTTCTCACATAGGAGTCTCCAAAGCAATTTTAGAAGGTGCAGGACAAAATGTGGAAATGGAATGTGCTCGGCTGGGTAAGGACAATGATACTTTTGGTTGTAAATTTTAAGTAGAAGACTGACTATGGGAGGCTATGAAAAGACCAAGAAGTCTTGGGGCTGGGAAGACAACACATGCGTCTTAAAATCATCTATTTTATTAAAGAATTCCAATTACAGAAAATTAGATAGGAAAAGTAATGTAACAGTGAAAAGCAAAATTAAGCAATAAAATTTCATCAAGGATAGTGTTTCAGGAGTTTCTTATTCACAAAATACTTCCTTGTCATCTCAGACATTTTGCTTTCTAAACAAAGAGTAGGTTCAGCATCTAATTTTGTATTTTTTGTCCATGTTTCCAGCTCATCAGGGCAACAATGAGTATATAGTTACTGAAGGTGGATCACTGAAGTGCAAGAATATTATTCATGTTCATGGTGGGAATAATGTCAAGAAATCTGTTTCCTGTGTGTTGCAAGAATGTGAAAAACGGAATTACTCATCCATTTGCCTCCCAGCTATTGGGACAGGTTTGTGTCCACTTTCCCATGGATTTGTGCCGAGTGTTAATGTGGTTGATACACAACGAGTTCAAGTGAGGACAGTGGCAATGATCTAGGAGTGGACAGCTTCCTCACGCCAAGGCACCTCTGAGGGAATAAGCAAAGCCTATGGGTGCTTTAAGTAAAAGAGGTAAAAAAAATAAATGGGTGCAGTGGCACAAGTGCCTATAGTCTCTGAGGCACATAAGTCTAGGTTTTGAGGACAGCCTGGCCAACACAATGAGACCCCTTCTCAAAAACAGAGAAAAAGAACAAGAAGGAGGAGGAAACTGAAAAGACTGATGGGACATTAGAAAGAAGAGAAAGAAAAGGAAGGTAGGGAAGGGAAGAAAGGCAGGGGAGAGAAAAGGCATCCATCTCTCATGCTCTTTCATCAGTTTGTTTCTTTTTCACTTTCTTGTATATCTTCCATTTAATTCTTAATTTGCTGCTCTGTTTCCTCCCCATGCAGGATATAGCACATACACTTCTGCCTGGATATATTTGACTATCAGATGAGCATTTCCAGCCTGCAACTCAATAGTTAGCTCTGCTTGTTGACCTTCATCTACCTCTCTGTAGAAGTTTCTCAGTCTCTAAAACCTAGTGGGTCAGGAACTCAACTTTCCATGTTCCTTTTTCAGCCCACTTGCTTGTTTTAAGTTTCTCAAACTATGTGCTGATTGTGGACCCTTCACAAATAATTATGTGCTTTGGGTTCATCATTACTGAAGGATGCCCTTAAGAGTTCTGCTGTAAGAATCTGAGTCATGTGCACTGATGAGAGGTTTCTGCTTGGTCTCCCATAAGGGGACTGATCAGGAGAGGTATGTACTCTCAGGATAAAGGGGAATGGGTTAGACTGGCCAAGTGAGAGAGCATCCAGCGATGAGCTGTCATTTTCCTCAGAAATCAAAGTTTGACTGTCTTAGACTGGCATTCCAAGCTTTCCAAAATTTAGTCTCAATAAATTCAGGCACTCTTGTCACTCTCCGGGCCTTCCTCCAATCCTCTAACCCACATTGCTTTCTGCAATTCTATATATTTCCCCATAATGTCATAGATGTAATTCTATGTCTACCTTACTATTTTTCTATTTCCAAAAGTATAATTTATGATCCTTCAAAGTTTAATTGCCTTTATGGTATCATCCATTCCTAGAAGATTTGCTAATATTTTATCTTTGTATCTATCTACCTATCTATCATCTATTATCTCTCTATCTATCATCTATCTATCTGTCATCTATCTGTCTATCTTTTTTGAACACCTAGCCCCAAAGATCTTGTCTTGTGTTTTTACCTTAAATTACTTGGGCCAATAAAGCAGCAGCCCAGATCTTCCTAGAGTAGTCCCTGGGTGGAGTCAAAAGAAGAAACAAGGAAAGGAGGCAGTTTTCATTTTGTATACATATGAACACGTTTGAATATTTCTGGGTCATTGCCACCTGTATTCTCTTTTTCTGACCTGGCTGCACTGCTAATCAACACACATAAACCAGGGTTAGCAAGTTCTCCTTGCTTGCCCTCTTTAGCTGTCTTCATTACCACCTAAACTGGTTTTTAGATGACTCCATACTGTTTATGAATTGATTTGTGACTGTGATCAAGATAGACTCTGGCAGTAAACTCCTCCCTGCTCCTTACAGACACCTGCATTGGGGGAGAGAATGAATGATCAACATTACCTGCAAGAACCACAACCTCAACACAAATTCCAAGCTCCTGTTTGTTCCTGTCCCCTCATACCTGACTGTCCTCTTATATCCCCAGCCATGTGGAAAGCATCATTTTCTTCTGGAATCCTTGACTCTACCTTCTTTATAACTCGTACATTCATAAGTTCATTACTTGTTATGATTATATAATTATGTGCTTAGGCACAAGAAATGAAAGATGAACAGGAAAAGGATACAGTCCACAGGAGCACCTAGCCTTATGAGGACAGTGAGGCATGCACATAAATAAACAACTGCAACACAGCATAGTCCATGGTATAGTGAGGGTTTCTGGGTGGCAAAAGAAGAGGAGGGAAGAGTCAAGGATAAACCCAGGTGGTCACTAGATCCTCGGGCTTTACTTCCTAAATACCTCCTCAGTCCCTACAGCCGACTCTTCATTCTGGCTCCCTTTCTTTAGCGCTTGTCTTTTGCCTAAATTTTTATTATCACTTCCTAACTAGATATGGATTTCCTACTTCAGTGCTTCCTCAAACCTGCCACATTCCTTCCTCAAAACTCAGTCTGCCATGCCATGCTGAACATGCCATGCCTGTGGCACAGTTCCACCTGGCATTTTCCATACTTCACCTGTTGAACACCTGTTCCTTTCACATTTCACATCCTCTGTCTCCTAGTAAGTAGAAAGGGAAGAATCTAGGTCATGATAGGACATGGCAGATAATTATTGAGAGTGGATCAATGTATCTGAATGCTTCCATTTAAATTCTTCCAAATACCATGAGAAAAACACAGCTTTGCAAAGCAGAATTTTCCTCTTTCCCTGATCACCTAAATGAAAAAAAAAACAAACCTGGACAAACTCTCTTGGTTAACTTTATTATGGTCATTGTCTACATTGCCACAATTGTCTGTGTAGCCAAGTTAAAGAAATGTACTCTCATTTTCTGCAATGGAGGTGTACACCATCAACATGATAATGCAAGTGGGCTTTTAGCTTATCAAACCAGCTTGACCAAGGGACTTTTACATTGCCTACATTGTGACTTTGACAGCTGCCATTCTCATGGGACCACTTCCCTAAACTGGAAAGAGACTTTTCATGATCTTACCTAGGCAGTGGCTTTTCATACTATAAAGCATTCTGAAAACTGGAATGGTTCTGCTCAGTGATTACCTTGAGCCTTAGGGATCGGGTAAAATCTCACTGAGTACAGAAGAGAAGACTTCCTGGAGGTTCAGGATAACTTATGTACAAAGAATTACAAATTATAAGAAGTAGCTTACAGTTTTGGATATCTTACAAAATTACCTTAGTTTAAATAAGATTTCCAAATATATCTGAAGAATATGGATACATGCATAAAATCAAGTGATGACAGAGTAAAAACTTGTTTTCCTCTCTAAGGAGCATGTTTCAACATTCATTAGCATCTTCTGTTTTTTATAAATCTTTTGAAGAGACTAGTGAGCCAAGAAAAGTTCCCTGCACTTTGTAACAGGTGGGGAGGAACACAGAGCTGGAATCAGCTGAACAGGACAACATGAATGTCACAAATCAGAAGTTAGGTTCCAGGGTTCCATTCTGGATGCTAGTTTGTGAACATCCTGGAACAAAAATTCCTTACTATACTTAGGACTTCAAAAATGTTACTGTTTGATGTGTTGTTAGAAAGTTTACAGTTGATAAAGGAGTTGGGGACCAGGAATTTATTCTGCAAAAACAAGAAACCCTAATTTATGTTCTTTAGCCTTTTCCAGTTGGATCTTTTATTCCCCCTCCAATCATTTTTATTATTTGCTTTTGTAGGAAATGCCAAACAAGACCCAGATAAGGTTGCTGAAGCCATAATTGATGCCATTGAAGAATTTATCCAGAAAAGATCAGTTCAGTCTGTTAAAAAAGTTAAAGTTGTTATCTTTCTGCCCCAATTACTGGATGTGTTTTATGCCAACATGAAAAAAAAAGAAGAGTCTCAGCCTCCTCCCCAACCATCTGTGATGTCTAAAGTGTCCTGTGAGTTGTTCACTGTTATAAAATGCATGTTCCTAATATTGCTGTTCTATGAGAAATAATTAACCATCTTTTTCTCTTTAGCCATTTTGGGTTTTACAAAGCAATCTCCCGTAAAACAGAATCCCTTGGTTTTAGAGAAGAAAACAGAAGTGACAACTTTCCAGGTGTGTGGTGAAGATGTAAACTGTGTTGACAACACTATCTCCTGGGTACAGGAGCTGATTAAAAAAGAGCAGTTTTCTTACACCAGTGAAGATGAATGTATCAAACACTTCAGTGAAAAGGAGTCTCAGAAACTGAATGAGCTGCAGAAGAGGTTAAATATTACCATTTCCCTGGACCAGAAGAGACCTCTGATTGAAGTTTTGGGACTTAGCAGAGATGTGATACAGGCTAGAGATGAAATCGAGGAAATGATCAAGAGTGTTAGACTGGCCAAAGAAAAGGAAAACCGAGCAGATTGTATCAGTGCATTTATAGAATGGCAATATAATGACAATAACATTTTTCGCCGTTTTGACAAAATAACCAGTCTGCAATTAGAAGATGCAAGGAGAGCAAAGGACAAGAGCACTGTGGTCAAAATTAATAATCAGGACTACAGAGTGAACTTCAGCACATATACTGCTACAGGTCCAAATGGACACAGCTTCACTGTTCAGCGCCTCACAAAATCTGAAGGTGAGTTAAACGTTCATGCTTGCAATTCACTACTTTATACCTACTTTGGGCTTAACACTATTTTATACATACATCAAATTTTAAAGTAGACAAAATTCACACAACGCCAATGGAATAAACTAGAAAACTTGTTCTTTGAACTTAAGGAGCTTACATTATGGCCAAGAAAACAAGCATGCATGTGCCCAATATCCTAAGAAAGAATATATTAGTGATACCGGTAGCCAGACCTTGCATTTGTTCCCATGTCTACTGTTTAGAAACTTCCCAGAGCCAACTCAAAGGCTGCTTCAATCAAAGATAACAATAGGCTTAAAGAAAACTGATTAAAAATTTCTAGAACATTAGAGTAAAGGAATAGAAATGGAGGACAGTCAGGTCATGTTTGTGACTAATGACCCAAGGAGGATCCTGATTCTACTCCCAGAAATCCCCTGGACAGTAGGTTTCCTGGACACACACACATCAGGAATCATCCTTTGGATCCCCCTCCTGGATCAGATCTCCAGGAAAGGAATGACTATCTTGTATAGACACCCATTCTTGTCTTCAAACCACATAAGCCCCCATTGAAAACTAGTAACTTGGCTTCCCATATTCTATATTTGTCTCTTGTGAGATGAGTGAGAATAAGCTCCTCAGATTCTTAACAATGACATATTACATAGTGTTCTACTTAACTGGTAAGAGAGAGAGCTGTCACCACAACCGTCACACATAAAACCTACCATGTGCCCACATCTTAATATTGTGAAGAATGAAAAAATAGATATTGAGTGCCCTGTAGTGTTAAATGAGATATTCTGGCAAAAGTTCATGTGTAAGCAAAACTGTAGCAACGACTGAAAACATGGTGGGGGAAATAATGTTTTATTAATTTAGAGTAGAGGCTAAACAGAAAATGCAAATGAGTTAAGATGCAGACGTACAGGATCTACTCCTCAAAAATTCTGGTTCAACACATCTGTGATGTTTCTTCTTTTGGAGGTGCTGGGAACTGAACACAGGCACTCAACGTGTGATAGGCAATCCATCTACCACTCATCACACTATCAGCCCTTTCCTTCTTCTCTTTAACAACCATTCCAGTTATTTCTGATTGTTTATTTGTGGTCCACACTTGAAAAAATATTCTAGAAAGATAGGGAACTTCTTGAACACATAGGACTAAGATATAGTAACACCAGAACACAGGTGCTATTCAGTTTTTCAAAAATACTGGCTATGTTCAGAGAGTCCTCAACTGTCTCCTTTGCAGTTGAATTCCCTGCACACTGGAGAGACATGAAGCAGCAGAATTTGTGTGTGGTCCAGCTGCTCCCTGCTGATCCAGAATACAACACTGTGGCTAGCAAGTTTAATGAGACCTGTTCATCTTTTGTCATAGAAAAGGTAAGCCTGCTGCTGATGTGGAGTTCCCTGAGGGTAGAAATAAGTGATATCACAGTCCTGTATAAATATAGTTTCAGTCACTTCCTAATGCATTTAATACTTAGAATTACAGCACTAATAATTAGAATCTAGATTCTACTCATGTCACCATAATTACTGAGACATTAAGATTCTTTTGCCAGTTATTACAGTATAACAGAAAATGGCACTATGATGTTAGAATATTAAAGATTCACCATATTTACTTTGTGAAGCAGACTAATAAAACTTCAAAGATATGGCTTCAAATTTGGATTTGATAACCAGCAAACAGCACAGAGATACATGAAGCCTCCTCATTCAGGATTCTAGTCTTCCGTCCTCTATTTGCAGGCCAAGACTTACATCCTGTTAAGTTCAATGGCCCTTTCTTTGTTCAATTACTTTACCTTTCACATTTAAAAATTATTAATATTGTCTTTTAAAATTATATTCTTCCTTGACTTCTGTGGCAATATATTTTATTTTTTTCTCCTTAATTTTCCTTGCATTATCACTGGCATTGTTTCTCCCCCAAACTCCCAATCTCATTTTACTCACAGGATTTATACTTTGGTCTTCTGTCTCTGTACCTCACCAGGGAATTTTTTTTACCCTTCTTGGCTTCAGATATTATTTCAATGTTGGCATCTCCCAAATCAGTATTGCCAATGTGGATCTTTGGTTTGCGTTTCTAGAACATACTCCAAGTATGTTCAACAACCAAAAAATACTCCAATTCTCTTTTCCCTTCCTTCCGCATTTCTTTCCCAGCTTCCACCCCTTTCTGAGGAAAGTCATAGGTATTTGAGTGCCTACCCTACACTCATAGTAATGAGTCTGCCATTAAGGCCTGCATTTTCTTTCTTTGGAAAATTTCCCTTACTCTGTGTTTGCACTAAAATCATTCTCTTTATTTGTACAGTTAAACACATAAGTTTTAAAGATTTAGAGTGTCCTACAAATATATACCTATACTTTTAAGTTAAATAAATAGATGAAGAAAATTGGATGAAGAGATCAGGAAAGTAAGGAAAATAAGATGATATGAAGTATTGCTAGGATACAAAATATGTAACATGAAGTCCTAGATAGTTGTACATGTCCCTAAATATCCTTGTACACAAAGCAAATAATTAAACACCCAACTTACAAGTCTCTCAAAATTTGCAATAAAAGGACAAAGCATTTGACGAACACACTCACAGCTCTTCAAAATACTGAGATTGATTCCTGAAAGATTTCTCCTGAGGATCAAGTACTGGAGAATATTCTTAAAATCATCCTCACTATAAATTCATGATCAAAATAATGCTTTTTTTTAATCCCTAATACAAATGAGTTGAATAAAACTGGTGCCTAATTGAAAGAAAAGTCTTTGAAAGACACAATGGGATTCAAGCATGCAGCTCTTTGATGATCTAGTTCTGAGATAGCAAAGAAGTGTCATTCAAAATACCAGCTCTGATAGTGGCTTATTGCATATTGTGAGATGATGCAAAGTTCAGATTGAGCAGGAATGACATCCCAGGTGTTCAGCAATGTGTGCAGTGGACCCTGGGGGGCCTACTATGGGTTGGCAGCCTCACCCTGGACTTTCCCTTCTCAGCACAGCCAAGCATTGGGTGCTGAGTGCTCACTGCTTGCTGAGGTACTTCCAGATCCCTTCATGGCAAATGATTAGAAAAACATGCATTGGTATTCATGATTAAATTAAAATTTAATTACAGACTTTTATATATATTTATATCTCTTATAATTTTGTTTCCTAAAAACAGCAGTTTACTTGTTTTACCCTATACTATACATAAAATTGTTTTAAAATTATATCAAATTATTACAATGTTAAAATAGCAATGCCAGATTCCTTTGGTTATTAGCATGTCTTTTTCCATTTTTGTTTTAATTGCTGTAACTATTTAAGAAGCATCTCTTAGCAACATATAGTTTTTTTTATTTTAAATAGCATTCTTAATTGGCTTCCTGTATTTACTGATGTTTGGATTTAAATATTCCACAATAATCTTTATTTTCTGCTTATCACATCTATACTTTGCTTTTTTTCTCTTTTCCTTCTTTTGGATTAAGCATTCCCATATTCTATTGTCTCCCCCATTAGGTTGTGGGTTATGAATTCTATTATGATGCATACTCTGACTACTCTAGAAACTATGTTTATGCTTAGCTAACGACACACTAGCATAGATCAGTATGTTTATCATTTCCTAGAGAATGTGCTGAACTTTGAACACTTTAAGGATCATTTATCTGCCTCCTGACTTTTGTGCTTCTAGCATTTATGAACATATTTACTCTTTCTTCCCACTGGAATCATTTTCTGTCTGGGGTTAGAACTCTGAATGCATATCTGGTAGTGGTAAATTTGCTCCAGTTTTTGTATGAAAATGTCTTTATTTCACCTCTGTTCTTTGAAGGATATTTTTACTGGGTATAGAACTCTGGACTGATAGTTATTTTCTTTAGGCACTTTAAAGAAGATATTTTACTACCTTCTGATTTACTATTTCACTTTTTATTTCCCCTCTCTCCAATATCTTGTCTCATCAAATCCTTGCACTTTTCTCCCCCACTTTTAGTAGTTGTTGGTGAGAGGGTTGGTCTGACACAAGTAATCTAACATAACCAGAAACTTCTTGCTAATAATAAACCTACTAAACAGAGTTTAGTTTATTTCCAAAGTGTGACCTTAGAATTTATCCAACTAAAAACCCTGAATTGGTTTAAAAATTACTTGAAATAATTTTTTTGTGGTGCTGGAGATTGAACCCAGGGCCTCACAGATACTAAGCATGTACTCGACCACTGAGCTACACCCCAGGTCTTAAAAGAATTATCTTGTGTGGTTATTACATTTCAAAAATATATGATACAACCTTTAAAACTTTAGAAATAAAAGACTGAAGAACTGAGAATACTTTCTAAACTTTTAAGGAAAAAAACATGATAATGCTAGATACTGAACTAGAGGGCAGACTGTATCTTAACTAAAAATAAAAACATCAAAAATGAACAACGGGTTGGATTCCAAGATGGTGGCTAGAGGGAGGAAGCAGAAAGCGTGCCTCCTAAAGTAAAATCTTAGAGAGACACTGGAGATACACCTTACAGACAAAACCACTGAGAAGAGGCAAAACTTTGACCCCTCCACACCTCCAGCCTGCGCATAGCATCTCCACTTCACGTTAAATGGAGAAACTAGGAGGGCTCCCGCGCCACTGCCAGACACCGGCGCCCAGACGGCTTGGGAAGACGCAGACCACAAGGTGAGCTAAGAGGCACGTGGTACTCCCACAGACAACCCTGGGCCAGATCAGCATAGCCCCCTGGACAGACCGACCCCCACCCAGGGAATAAAGAGAAACTGAGTAATAAGCATAAGAACAATAAGGACATGTAGCAAAGAGGGGGCGCGCCCTGAATGCTGAAGAGTGAGGGAGGGGAATCCCTCATGGAACTGTAAATAAACAAGCCGTCTGGAGAAGGCAGGAGTGGCGGCACACACCCAGCAACCAGGAGCAGGAAAGCTTGTAAAAGTGGCAGTGGGAGGAAAACTCCACAGGAGAGGGGAAAACCCACTTCCCACGTGAGCTGTAAAGAAACACGCTGGCCTGAGAAAGCGGGTGCAGTGTCACCTCCCCCAGTGTGCCTGGAAAGGGGAAAGCTTGTGGCAGCAGCTCGTGCACAGGAGAATTCTGAGTAAACAAAGTCTGCAGGGCCAGGTGAGTGCTAAGGTCACACCTGAGATCTGCATAAATAAAGCCTCCAGCAACAGCAGGCTGACAGCAGTGGGCAGGTGAGCCACAGCCTCAGATAGCCATTCACAGAACTGTCTCCAGACTCTTTTTCGCTCTCTCCCTACCTTTGATGAGACAACAACCAAACTACACCTGCATGCTGAAAAACTTACTGAAACTGAATTGCATTTGAACTTGGTACACTTTGTGGGGTTTTTTTTTTTGTGCGGTTTTGGTTTATTTTATTTTTCCCCTTTGATGAGACACCTACAGAACAACATCTGAGCCACCATCTCCAGGATTGGAGTCTGAGGGACGAACACCAAAATTGCAATTGAACTTGGAGTTTTTTTTTTTATTTTTATGTATATATATGTTTTTTTCATTTATTTATTTTTTTTTTTTATTTTTTATTTTCAATCCTCTGTCTCTCTAATGCCTTTTCAGCTTACGGTTGAATAGTACACTCTCTCTCCCTGTTTATATCTTTGAAACATTTTTGTTTGTTTCTTTGTTTTGCTTTTTTTCTACTTGTTTGTTTTTTCCTTTTCCTTTAACTTCTTTGCTTTCCATCTCCTCTCACCTTTGCATTCTAAATATCACCATTATTATTACAAGCCAGAAAATACTTAGTTGCACACAGTACAGGGACAGTAACAACACCAAGGACAATGACGGGAAGACAGAAACAACAGGGAAACCAGTTTCCCCATAGCAAAAAATCAGTACAGGAACCAGAGGGAAGTGAAGAAAATAGATACTCAGATCCAGACTCCAACAAAATGAAGATAAACAATGCCAAAGAACCCAATGAAGCCTACAAGAATAATCTAAAAGAAGACATACTACAGGTACTCAATGAGAATTTTATAGAGACGATACTGGATATGGTCAACCAAAATGTACAGGAGACACTCAAGAAATTCCAAGACAACCAAAATAGAGAATTTGAAAAAGCAAAAGAAGACATAAAGGAAACTATAGAAGCACTGTATAAACACCAAAGTGAAACGAAGAACATGATTAATAAAGAGATAAATGAACTCAGGACAAAAACAGACAACATTAAAGAGGAAATGACCCAGGATATGGAAAACCTCAAAAAAAGAACAAAACAGAATTGCAAAACAAAACGGAAGGCCAATCCAGCAGAACAGAACAAACAGAAGACAGAATCTCAGAACTCGAAGATGAAATGGTAATTAAAGGAAAAACCGAACTATTAATTAAACAACTCAAGACCTGTGAAAAGAAAATGCAAGAACTCACCAACTCCATCAAAAGACAAAACCTGAGAATCATGGGCATCGAAGAAGAAGAGGTGCAAGCAAAGGGAATGCGTAATATATTCAACAAAATAATAACAGAAAATTTCCCAAATCTAGACAAAGCTATTCCCATATAGATGTAAGAGGCCTCCAGAACACCAAACAGACCAGATCAAAACAGAACTACTCCATGATGTATCATCATTGAAACAACAAATTCAGAAACTAGGGAAAGAATATTGAGGACTGTAAGAGAGAAAAAACAAATAACATACAAAGGCAAACCCATCAAAATCACAGCAGACTTCTCAACAGAAATATTAAAAGCAAGAAGAGCTTGGGGAGATCTTCCGGGCACTGAATGAAAATAACTTCAACCCCAGGATGCTCTACACAGCAAAACTATCATTCAAAATAGATGGAGCAATAAAAGTCTTCCATGATAAGCAGAAACTAAAACAGTATGTGACCACAAAACCACCACTACAAAAGATTCTTCAAGGGATTCTGCATGCAGAAAGTGAAACCCAACATAACCATGAAAGGGCAGGAAGCACCAAACTACAGGAAAAGAAAAAGCAAGAAAGTAGAGAGTAACCTCAACTTAGATACACATGATCAAACCTTCAAACAACTAAGACAAGTAAATGACAGGAATCACCACATACCTATCAGTACTAACACGTAAAGTGAACGGACTTAATTCACCCATCAAAAGGCACCGCTTGATGAAATGGATTAAAAAGGAAGATCCAACAATTTGTTGCTTACAGGAGACCCGTCTCACCGACAGAAATAAGCATAGGCTTAGGATGAAAGGCTGGAAGAAGATTTACCAAGCCAATGGCCCCTGAAAACAGGCAGGAGTAGCAATACTTATCTCTGACAAAGGAGACTTCAAACCTACATTGATCAAATGAGATAAAGAAGGACATTCCATACTAATAAAAGGAGAAATAGATCAAAAGGAAATAATAATTATCAACCTATATGCACCCAATGTCAACGCTCCCAATTTTATCAAACATACCCTGAAGGACCTAAAAGCATATATTAACTCCAACACAGTGGTTGTGGGAGACTTTAATACCCCAGTATCATCAATAGATAGGATCCAAACAAAAATATCAATAAAGAAATCCAAGATCTAAAATATACAATAGATCAAATGGGCCTACTTGATGTCTACAGAACATTTCATCCAACTTCTACACAACAGCCAAGTTATGGAAACAGCCAAGATGCCCCACTACGGACGAATGGATCAAGAAAATGTGGTATCTATACACAATGGAATTTTATGCAGCCATGAAGAAGAAAGAAATGTTAACATTCGCTGGTAAATGGATGGAATTGGAGAACATTATTTGAGTGAGGTTAGCCTGTCCCAAAAGACCAAAAATCGTATGTTCTCCCTCATATGCAGACATTAGATTAAGGGCAAACACAACAAGGGGATTGAACTTTGATCACATGATAAAAGCGAGAGCACACAAGGGAGGTTTGAGGATAGATAAGACACCTAAAAAACTAGATAGCATTTGTTGCATTCAATGCAGAGAAACTAAAGCAGATACTTTAAAGCAACTGACGCCAATAGGAGAAGGGGACCAGGAACTAGAGAAAAGGTTTGTTCGAGAAGAATTAATTTAGAAGGTAACACACATGCACAGGAAATCAATGTGAGTCAACTCCCTGTATAGCTATCCTTATTCAACTAGCAAAAACCCTTGTTCCTTCCTATTATTGCTTATAGTCTCTCAACAAAATTAGAGATAAGGTCAAAATAGTTTCTGCTGGGTATCGAGGGGGTGCGGGGGATAGGGAGGGGGTGGTGTGAGTGGTAAGGGAGGGGGTGGGGGCAGGGGGGAGAAATCACCCAAGCATTGTATGCACATATGAATAATAAAAAAAAATTTTTAAAAATGAACAACAGGAGGAGAAAAATCAGATGAAGACACGAAACGGTACTGAATTTGAGAGTTCTATAGATTAGCAGAAGATTCTGACAGCATGGAACCTTTAGCTTGTGCATTTTCATGAGATACCCTAGCCACATTTACCCTCTGCTTACACCTCCCAGGACCAGAAAGTGCCATGACTTAGTGATTAGTTTAAAAGCTGATCTGTTATCCAGAACTCAAGCAATGCCCACTTATAGCCTTAGAAACCAAAGGGTATGGTCTCAGCCTGGCCACTTCAATTCAGTCTACAGCCAGATTCCCCCCATCAAGATTTATTCCCTACTCTTCCAACTGGTCCAGAAACGAATTTTCCATTAATTACATTCCTTCTTGCTTAGACATTCTAGTGTCTCTCCCAACATTGACAGGTCAATCAATATCTCTGAGGAGTGAGGAAGCAAATGGCAACGTGACAGAGGAAGGTAGACAGCATTAGGAGCAGTTACTGGAGGTCACACAAAAAGCAAGGGTTGGAGAGGCAGAATCAGAAGAGTTCATGTGGTAACTGCTTAAGATCCCGGTCATGTTTGCTCTCAGACTGTGCAAGAAAGACATTAAAAATTAAAGCAAAATTTGCCCCAGTGTCTGTGTTTATGAAATCCTTGATCTAAAAAGATTTCTGAATTCAGAAAGCTGTTATCCGGCATTGAATTTTCCGTTGAGTGTAAATTTTTTTTATATAAAAACCAGTGATAATGTTTCCTATACTTTGTCAAGTGTTCTAGGCCCTAAAGGAGTAATTTTTATTATTAACTTACAGATTGAAAGGATCCAGAATCCAGATCTCTGGAATAGCTACCAAGCAAAGAAAAAAACCATGGATGCCAAGAATGGCCACAAAATGAATGAGAAGCAACTCTTCCATGGGACAGATGCTGGCTCAGTGCCACATGTCAATAAAAATGGCTTCAACCGCAGCTACGCTGGAAAGAATGGTAAGAAAGGGAGTAATCTGGCTGCTGTGAATGAAGTGTAAGCCCTGAGAACCCATGCTGGGTTGCATGGATGCACTGGTTCTCCTACACTAGGCGGCCAACGGGTAGCCCAAGTTTCAGGCTAGGACTCAGTCAGTGTATTTTTCCTCCCAAAGGGTCTGACTGACCCTAAGAGGTGGAATATTTAATTCTTAAAAATGAGACACACACACACAAATGTTTAAAAAGAATGTTCTTTTTTACATTGTTTGATGTATCGCGCCAACCTATTGAATAATATGCCACATTGAGTTCAAAATGTTTTTTTTTTCTCTTCACAGCTGTGTGTTATGGAAAGGGAACCTATTTTGCTGTAAACGCCAATTATTCTGCCAATGACATATACTCCAGACCAGATGTAAATGGGAAAAAGCATATGTATTACGTACGTGTGCTCACTGGAGAATATGAACGTGGACATCAGTCATACATTGTGCCTCCTGCAAAGGACCCTCAAAATCCTACTGACCTCTATGACACTGTCACAGACAACAAGCAAAATCCTAGTTTATTTGTGGTATTTTATGACTACCAAGCATACCCAGAATACCTCATTACTTTTAGACGCTAACATTTTCAGTTTCCTCCCCAAAAAGACATTATTTGTTTGTACATATTTGGTTTTAAGAGGTTTAGCCTTTTTTCTTTCTTCACAGCCTTTTCTAAGATCAAAAGATGCTTCTTTTCACTGAAATCACAGTTACCTGAGTTTCTCTTTTGTAATGGGAATTAACCAATTTTTGAGAAGAGCAAATAAATTTGAGCACTTAAATCAGATATCACAGAACAATGTGTCCACAAGTGTGCACATCAAATCTATGGGGAAAAAAACAGGTTTATATTTTCAGGAAGAAGAGAAAGCACAGCCATGCAATTCAGCTGCCACTACTGAAAGGAAACAGCTGGAATTACTTCAGGGTACTGAAGTGCTGTGGAGAACACAGTATCACAATGTGGGTAGGGTTGCTAACTTCCTGAAGGTGAGGGTAATTCATGATTTTACCTTTGGTTGAGGTCTGTACCTGATATACAATGGATGCTCCACAAATTAGGAAGAGAAAAGCCCAGTCAAACTCCTACCCAAAGCAGGAACTCTCTCTTCAGTACCCTTGACATCTGTCATGTTGCCACCAATTGAACAGATTCCATGACAGGGAGCTTCATTCACAAACAGCCCACGTGTGTGGGCTGGACAGCTCCAGCCAGGGCTCTGGGACTGCAGTGCATTTGCCCCCTGCACAACCAACTGCTAAGGTGCAGCTTGTGGTCTGGGTGGATTGTCCCATGGAACCATGCAGCACAGAAGCCCTGGCTCTAATCGCCAGAGGGTTCTTTCTAATGAACCCAAATTTGCCTCTGTGTGTCTACTCATTGGTCTTCATACTATACTGTGAAAACAATGATGATGGCTGCTACATCTTCAGTGGAAACCCTTCAACTGTGCTAAAATTAATGAACTGTAAGGTTATTAAATAACATATTTCCCTTGATGGCTTAGTTTTTGATGCTTTTAAAGCCTTATGTATAAATAAACCAAATAAACTAAGCAATCGTACTGCTAATTTGCTAACTCAGTATTTAATGGATGGGAAAGTTGTTCTTTTTCTTAATTCCTCAGGTAATGTTCATGTTCAAACACCATTTTATTGAGTACCTAGGTTGTGACAGGCCATGCAATAGGTGCTTTTACGTGTATTATTTTATTCCCAAACAGTCCTGTGAGGCAGGAACTATATCCACATTCTAAGACTGAGGAGAAATGCTCAGATTGCAAGAAGCTTCCTTGCCTGAGGTCACCTAGGCAAGACCCCTCATAGCCTGCAAATGAGTCTTTGTGACTGGGATATCAAGCCCTTTGCTGTTCCCCACAGAACACAGTCTCCAAATTGATGTCACCTCAGATGATCTGTGAAATCCTCACATTCCTTTTTTTGTTTTTTCCTTCTGGCTTTGGTTTCTCTTCATTGGGAATTCTTTAGGCTAAGAAGCCAGAATTGATGCTGCTGAGGAACAAGTACATATGACACATTCTGTCACTAGGGGGTGCTGGGAGGATTAGGGTGCTCTTGCCTGACCACAAGGAATAGCACCAGACCTTCAAGTGGAGGAGGGCGAGGGGGCTACCTTTGCTGCTTCATTGACACAGAGGTCTGTTGAAGCTATTTGTTTACACGTGGACTAACAAAGACTTCGGAGTAGCTTGCTAGCCATTGGGAACTGAACTCAGCACTAACAATGATGTAAGAAAACGGAAGCCCTGTTCTCATTTGCTTCTGTTCTCCAGTGGTTTGTTAACTTGGAGCAAGGCTGAACAGCAGAGTATGTTACACTTAAGAATAGTGATCCAATCAGTAAGCATTACAGAGTACTGGAATTCCTAGCCAGAGCAAATAAGCAAGAAGAAGGAATAAAAGGAATACAAATAGGTAAAGAAACTGTCAAAATATCCCTATTTGCAGACGACATGATCCTATACCTTAAAGACCCAAAAAACTCTACTCAGAAGCTTCTAGACATCATCAATAGCTACAGCAAGGTAACAGGATATAAAATCAACATAGAAAAATCATTAGCACTTCTATACACTAATAATGAACAAACTGAAAAAGAATATATGAAAACAATTCCATTTACAATAGCCTCAAAAAAAATCAAATACCTAGGTGTAAACCTGACAAAAGATGTGAATGACCCCTACAAGGAAAACTATAAACTTCTGAAGAAAGAGATTGAGGAAGACTATAGAAAGTGGAGAGATCTCCCATGCTCATGGATTGGTAGAATCAACATAGTAAAAATGTCTATACTCCCAAAAGTAATCTACATGTTTAATGCAATTCCCATCAAAATTCCAATGACATTCATTAAAGAGATTGAAAAATCTACCGTTAAATTTATATGGAAACACAAGAGGCCACGAATAGCCAAGGCAATACTCAATCAAAAGAACAACGCTGGAGGTATCACAATACCTGACTTCAAACGATATTACAAAGCAATAACAATCAAAACAGCATGGTACTGGCACAAAAACAGACATGAAGACCAGTGGAACAGAATACAGGACCCAGATATGAAGCCACACAACTATAATCGACTTGTCTTTGACAAAGGCACTAAAAATATGATGGAGAAAAAGCAGCCTCTTCAACAAAAACTGCTGGGAAAACTGGTTAGCAGTCTGCAAAAAACTGAAACTAGATCCATGTATATCACCCTATACCAATATTAACTTTTTCAAAATGGATCAAGGTCTTAATATCAGATCACAAACTCTAAAGTTGATACAGGAAAGAGTAGGATATAATCTGGAATTAGTAGGTATAGGTAAGAACTTTCTCAGCGGAACCCCAGCACCACAGCAACTAAGAGATAGCATAGATAAATGGGACTTCATAAAACTAAAAAGCTTCTGATCAACAAAAGTAATGGTCTCTAAACTGAAGAGAACACCCACAGAGTGGGAGAAAATATTTGCCAGCTACACATCAGACAAAGGACTGATAACCAGAATATATAGGGAACTTAAAAAACTAAGTTCTCCCAAAACTAATGAACCAATAAAGAAATGGGCAAGTGAACTAACACAGAACTTTCTCAAAAGAAGAAATTCAAATGGCCAGAAAACACATGAAAAAATGCTCACCATCCCTAGCAATAAAGGAAATGCAAATTAAAACCACACTAAGATTCCACCTCACCCCTGTTAGAATAGCCATCATTAGCAACACAACCAACAACAGGTGTTGGCGAGGATGTGGGGAAAAAGGAACCCTCTTACACTGTTGGTGGGAATGTAAACTAGTACAACCACTCTGGAAAAAAATTTGGAGGCTACTTAAAAAGCTAAACATTGATCTACCATTTGATCCAGCAATACCACTCTTGGGGATATACCCAAAAGACTGTGACACAGGTTACTCCAGAGGCACCTGCACACCCATGTTTATTGCGGCACTATTCACAATAGCCAAGTTATGGAAACAGCCAAGATGCCCCACCACTGACGAATGGATTAAGAAAATGTGGTATCTATACACAATGGAATTTTATGCAGCCATGAAGAAGAACGAAATGTTATCATTCGCTGGTAAATGGATGGAATTGGAGAACATCATTCTGAGTGAGGTTAGCCTGGCCCAAAAGACCAAAAATCGTATGTTCTCCCTCATATGTGGACATTAGATCAAGGGCAAACACAACAAGGGGATTGGACTTTGAGCACATGATAAAAGCGAGCACACAAGGGAGGTGTGAGGATAGGTAAGACACCTAAAAAATTAGCTAGCATTTGTTGCCCTTAACGCAGAGAAACTAAAGCAGATACCTTAAAAGCATCTGAGGCCAATAGGAGAAGGGGACCAGGAACTAGAGAAAAGGTTAGATCGAAAAGAATTAACCTAGAAGGTAACACACATGCACAGGAAATTAATGTGAGTCAACTCCCTGTATAGCTATCCTTATCTCAACTAGCAAAAACCCTTGTTCCTTCCTATTATTGCTTATACTCTCTCTTCAACAAAATTAGAGATAAGAGCAAAATAGTTTCTGCCGGGTATCGAGGGGGTGGGGGGGAGAGGAAGGGAGTGGAGTGGGTGGTAAGGGAGGGGGTGGGGGCAGGGGGGAGAAATGACCCAAGCATTGTATGCACATATGAATAATAAAACAATAAAAATTAAGAAAAAAAGATTAAGTGAAAAAAAAAAGTAATCATTACAGTTATCCTCAGTTTAAATAAATGTTAAATGTTATTTTCCTCCTTTTCCAATAAAATTGCTTGACATATGTCACTTGGTAAAAACATCTTTCTCCTAAAGGGCAAAAACGGGATTTAATGATAAATACTGACCACTACTGATTAAAAGCCTCAATTAAATATAGCAGTGTTAGAGCTCTGTAGAATACAAATATGCAGTTAGAAATTATGGGACTTGATCCAAAATTGGGTTAATTGATCAACTACAGAGACAGATTCTTGAACTTTTTCAGCATTTGACTCATCTGAGGTGTTTGCTGAAACTGCCAGCTCTGGCCCATCCCAAGAGAAGCAGAATCTGCAGCACAGGTGGTACCCAGGAATCTGTACTTCAGTAAATGTCTCAAATAATTCTGATGGCCCGGACACCCAAAGTCTCCCAAGATGTTCACTGGCCCCAGGCACTTCTGCCTTTGTGGGCCACTTAGTGCTTGAACAATAATAAAAATTAAGCTTTACAACATTTATACAAACATGAATGTGAATTAGGCTGAATAATATTCCTTTTTCTGATTTTAAAACATTTTGGGGAATCCCTGAAAGTTTCATGGGTCCTAGCCATTGTGCCTACTGAACTAAATGGGTATGGCAACTCTGCTGACTGCCACGTTGACACTGTGACATTAGGCGCCTGGTTGAGCTTGTATTCTTTAATGCCTTTGACCTCTGGAGGGTCAATGCATTCATTTACCACTTAAACATGCTCACTGGTGAGATGCAGGATGAAATAGGAACCAGCTGAGGTGGTGACCAACAGCCTCCCCTTCACTGTCTTGTTCTCACACTAACCACCCCTTGTTGGAGCAGACAGCCAGGACCTCCTGCAGCCTTCATTGTCACTTCTATTTCTACAAAATCAGTGAAGGACTGTTTTCCGGGTGGTTTGGACCAACCCAGTTCTTAGGAATAACTGTAGATGTGCTCAGAATACAAAATCCTGTGGTGAGGGGTGGAGGGACTTACCCAACCTGCCAGTGCTCTGTTCTAGTCCTCTCTTTATGTGAAGGGACAGTGAATATTTTTGGCATTCTAGGCCTTACAGTCTGTGTGACTATTCGACTCTGGCACTAAAGCTACCATAGGCAGTATGAAATGAATAGTATAAACTTCAATAAACTTTATTTACAAAAACAAGAAGCAGATTGGTCCCAGGTTGAAGCTGATGGAGATTGCTTTCTGCTGGGAACACTTGGAGTTTGCAGTTAAGACAGGCTAAAGGAAGACAGGCTAAAGGAAGAAAGGCAAAGGAATTGAGAGAAAAGAAGACCTACAAATAAAAGGAGCCAATGTGCCTGGAAAAGGTAGCTATAGACTAAATTTTAATTAGGTAAAAGTCTATACCGTTATGAACATGTGTAAACTGACCTTTTGCTGTTTCATGTTTTCTTTTAAAATTGTACTATTTAGAGCCAGGCTTAGTGATGCATACTTGTAATCCCAGTACTCAGAAGCCTAAGGCAGGAGGACCATGAGTCCAAAGTTAGCCTGGGTTAAATGGCAAGACCCTTCTGAAAACAGTAAAATACAAAAAAAAACAAAAACAAAACATAGTATTTTCTTCAATATCATTTAAGAAGTCATCTTCTATTAGAATCACAAGCTTTTTCCTTGTATCAAAAGTTGTGCCACCATTCTGGTTACTTGTGGATTCACCATGCAGTCCAGCAAGTCATCTGTAGAAACAAATGCCTGAGGAGGGACTGTAGTACTCTTTGAAGCAGTCTGTTGCACCATTGCCTTTTCACTTTTACTTGTCATTTGTCGTCCCCTGGCATAGTACAATTTTGTGAAGTGTTCTCCATCTTTGTGAACAAATTCTTTGCCATTACTTTCAAATATGCCTCTTCTTTCTGAATGGGGTCCTTCAGATGTTGGTGTTATAAGGATCAGATCAGGGCCAAAGGAACTTGTTGCCTCTTGTTTTATGGTTCCCATGGCTAAGTTCTGGTGAAGTGTTTGTTCCACTGCCATGTGGCTGCTCACATTTAACTGTTCCTTTTTCATGTTCTCCCCACTTTCATTCAGCCCTTGAATTTCTACTACTTTGGATGTTCTATAATGATCAAAAAAGGCAGCTACAGCTCTATTTAAGTAGTGACAATTAACTTCATGGGATGTTTCCTCAACCTAAGGAAAAAGAAAACCCTTTCAGAATGGTTGCATACATTTAGTTAAAGTGGAACACAAATGATCTATTCAGAGTTGGTTTACTACAGGAAACCAATAGCCATGATGAAATTGAGAGCCAGCCTACCTCAGTGGGATTTAACCAAGCTCTAGTATTCTGTGGATCCTCTGCAGTTTTCAGTGCACACACAAGCATTCGGGTGATTGCTTCTTCCACCCGGGCTAGGTGGTCCTCTTCCTATGTTGAGATTAAAAACAAAACAAAACAAAACATGTCTCTTTTAATTATGCATTCTGTTCTCCCATTAATTTAAGTTTTATTACAGAAGGAATGAGTCTATCATCTGCCATCTAGAACAGATGTATAATAGTTCACCAGGCAAATTTAAGTATGTATTTTGTCTATAATACACAGGCCTTAAGTGTGAACAATGTTATATTTTTCCAATGTTTTCCATTCTTTGACTTATTTAAAGTTTTCAAAAAGTATATACACAGAGGAATAATCCTCATAGAGTTTGGAAAGCAAATTATATGTAGGATGGGAGAAAAAGTAAATAGTAAACATGCCTGGCTATAAGAATGAGATGGTCTTAAGTGGGCACCGGTGGCTCACACATGTAATCCTAGCTACTTGGGAGTCTGAGATCAGAAGGATAGCGTTTTTAGGCAAGCCCAGGCAAAAAAGTTTGAGACCCATTTCAACCAAAAGCTGTGTGTAGTGGTACATGCTTGTCATCCCAAGCTACATGAGAGGCTGAGGTTGGGAAGATTGCAGTTCTAGGCCTGCCCAGGCACAAAAAGTTTGTGAGACCCCATCTCAGTGGAAAAAAACCTGGGCATGGCATGTCATTCCAGCAATGGTTTGAAATGTAAAATAGGAGGAATGTGGTCCAGGCCATCCTAGGGAAAAAGTGAGACCCTATTTCCAAAATAACCAGAGAAAAAGGGGCTGGAGATTGGTTTAAGCAATAAAGCACCTAACAAGTGCAAAGCCCAGAGTTCAAATCCCAGTACTGCAAAAAAAAAAAAGAGAGAGAGAGAGAGGTGGCCTGGCTGGGGAGTGTAGATCACTGGTATAGAGCTTGCCTACCAGGCACAAGGCCTGGGTTGGATCCCCAGTACTTGTGGGAGGTGTGGGAAAGAAAGGGTGGCTATCTATATAAACATAGCTTTCTTAAAATAGTGTAAATACACACTGTAGTATTAATGATAAATGACAAAGCCACCAACTTCTACTCATCAAAATCACAGTAAGGGGGAAAAAAAACCCAAACCAGGTGTCTGTAACATACATAATTAATAAAAGGTGAATATCCAGAATATCTAAAGAACATATAGGGGCAAGATGGCATTCAACCTATTCAACTCCATGAACAAAGGAGAGTGTATAGTACAGAGTGAGAAAGAGCATCAAGAGTCACAAAAGCTAAAAGCCAGGAAGAAACAGAAAAGTGGCACAGAGAAAAGTAGGAAATAGTCGGAAGCTCCATTTCTGGTTCCCTGGGAACAAGAGAAGCCTAAGGCACAGTGCAAGGTAAGCCAGGTGACTGTGGTGGAAACAGGCAGGCAGCCTTAGCTGCAGGAGAAGCACACAGTTCTCACAAGCCTTAAATCCAGGCCCGGGAATCCGGAGTAACAATAACTCTTCTGCATGGCAGGCTAGCATTGGAAAAGAAAGCTGTTTTGTCAATCCCTGCATCTTGGAGAGCTAGAGCCAAGTACCATTTTCACAGGGGGCTACTATTTGAGACTGAGCTACTCTGAGGCCCTGAAAACAAAGAACATTAACAACTCAGGGAGCTTGGGAACACCTTGCCACAGTGTCTGGGTAGGGGTGAACATGAGAGATAGCTGTGGAAAGAAGACAGCCTGATATGGACCCACTGAGATGTTTAAGCAGCAGAGTTTGGGCAATGAAGGGCATAGCAGTCAATAATTTTTTTCACCCTCTGTGGCAAGGTGTAAGCTCCATCACCCGAAGATCTCTGTTGGACAGAGTCTGAGCCCATGGCTGGCAGACTGATGCCAGCAGAACTGCTTCCCTGCTCCAGTTGATTTGCTACCTGGTGAGTTGAGACCTCTGAGCCCAGGTCCCAAGGATCAATTGATTTCCATAGCCTCCTCTCTCGCACAAGGTGCTTAACCACCAGGTAGAGTCTAAAACCACTAAGATACATAGACAGGATGCTATTTTCCCTGGTTCTCCACTTCCAGTTTAGAACTCAGTGCTCTGCTTCTTCCACTCTCTGATGCATTTAGGGTATGCCCTTAGGCTTGACGTTTGCTGCCTCTGGGAGTACAAACTGAGGGCTCTGTGGAGTGAGTGGGAACCTGCTTGTCCACAGGGGTCAGCAGTGACTTCTGGTATGCAAAGAAAGGAAGCCTATAAAGTGAAAACATCCTTAAAGCCAACAACTAATCCTTGACCAGCCTGGTCCTCAGTCCACAAAGAGCACAAGACTGAATGGTGGGAACTACCAGAGACTGTAGTTTGTTTTCTTCTTTCTAAGTGGTGCTGGGGATTAGGCCCAGTGTCTTGAGCATATGGGCGAATGCTTGTCTACTCAGCTATACCCCCAGTCCAGTGGTAAGAAACTGAACCTCAATCTTGCACTACCTAGTCCTGAGGACAGAATACTTCCACTGAAAGGTGATTAAAACCTCCAACCAATGACTTGGACCTAGATGTACAAATCCCAATGCAGAAACAAGAAATAGTTTTCAACAAGACAATGTGATTCCTCCAAAGGTCAATAATTCTACAATAATGGACCCTAATGATAGTAAAGTGAATGAAACTTCAAAGAACTCAAAACATGGTTATAAAAATGGTCAATGAAATTAATGAAGACAAAAATACACACCTAAATAAATTCAAAGAGAATACAAAAAAAACAATGCTTCCTAATAAGGATAATGCAGGATATGAAATAAGGATTTGATAAAGATATAGAAAAAAAGGTATGAAAAAAATTAATTCAAAATTCTGAAATCTCAGTAAGTCAAATTGAAAAAATAATTAAAAAGCCTCACCTTTCCTTGACTAGATCAAGAAGACAGAGTATCAAGGTATCAGAAGACAAGGTAGATAAATCAGAACATTCAGACAATAACAAAGACAAAAAAACCAAAAAACCCGAGAAGAAAAGAATGGAACACACAAGACTTCCGTGACACCATGTAAGTGTCCTGAACTCTGAAAGTATTAGAACTAAAAATAGGAGAAACGCTTTAAGATATAGGTATAGGCAAAGACTTTCTGAATAGGACTCCAATAGCTCAGAAAATAAGAGTAAGCATTGAAAAATGGGATTGCATCAAACTAAAAAGCTTCTATACAGCAAAGGAAACAATCACTCGAATAAAGAGACAGCCTTCAAAATGGGAGAAAATCTTTGCCAGCTATTCGTCTGACAAGGGATTAATAACCAGAATATATAAGGAGCTCAAAAGACTAAACTCAAAAAAATGCAATTAATAAATTGATAATTCTTGAAAGAAATACAAATGACCAATGAATACATGAAGACATGTTCAACATCCTTAACCTATAAAGGAAGAGCAAATCAAAGTTACATTGAGATTCCATCTCAACCCAATCAGAATGGCTGTCATAAAGAAAACAATCAACAGGTACAATACCAAGGCAAAACTCCACTGAAGAATGAACAGACACTTAAACAATGAAGGACAGGAATGTAAAACAGGTCATGTTAAAGGGAGGTACTAGTGGGAAGGGAAGGATAAAGGAGAATGAGTATGGTTGATGTATTTTCTACACATGTATGAATATGGAACATTGAAACCAATCTAAGTTTCTAAGAAGGGGAAGGGAGAATAATGGAGGAGATGAACCAAACCTGGGTACACTGTACACATATATGGAAATGTCACAGCAAAACCCCTGTACAACTATTATATACTGGAAGAAGGAAAGGAAGGGAAGGGAGGGAGGAGAGGGGAGGAAAGGAGAGGAGAAGAAGGAGGAGGGGAGAAGGAGGGAGGAAAGAAGGAAGGAAGGAAGGAAATACTGGCAATGATGTGGGGAAACGGAACCCTTATACACTACTGGGAATGTGAATTAGTACAACCACTATGAAAATCAGTATGGAGGTTCCTCAAAACAAAAAAGAGAACTACCATATGATCTAACAATACCACTCTTAGGCATATATCCAAAGTAATGTAAGCCAGGATACAACAGAGATACCTGCACACCCATGTTTACTGCAGCATTATTCACAATAGCCAAACTATGGAAACAGCTTAGGTGCCCTTCAACTGATGAATGGAAAAAGTGGTAAATATACACAAAGGAGTAATAATTCAGTCACAAAGAAGTTAAAATTATATCATTTGTAGGGAAATGGATGGAATTGAAGATAAGCAAAGTTCAAAAAGACAAATACTGCATTTTCCCTCATATGCAGAATCTAGATCTTATATATGCACATATAACATGAGTGCAATTGTGGGACTATTTGGGGGAATGAGGATAGGGGAGAGGGAAAGAGTAATTTGTGCATTACTGAATGAATTAAACAAGGAAATCCCAGAAACAATGAGAAGCTTCAGATCCCAGATCTTGGTTTCTAAATATCATTCTCCACTAAAAGGAAACATGAGTACTGGAAGAAGTGTTTGGTCTCCAAGTCTGAAGCAGAGAAGAGAAAGTACCAGGGGATCCTGGGATGGGATCGCTTATTGTGCCAGAAAGCAAGGAGAAGGATATTAATTAACCGGGATCTATCAAAGGGGTACCAGTCAGTTTGAAGCAGTTTCTCTAAAAGTACAAGAGAGACTGAAACTCAAAATTATCTTGGCAAGCTGGAATATTTAACCAAACCACAATGATGAAAATCAATAGGGATGACTATTAAGTACTGGATGTATTTTACAGGAAGCTATTGTAATCATCGAATACAGCGGGCAACCAGAATTAAGTACAGCGTATTGGTAGGAAAAGACTTCTTACAGAAATAAATAATAAAAACCTAACAATGCAAGACTCTTCTTTGAGAAAATGTATAAGCCAAGACAGACTTCTACAACTAGTCATGAGGACCATGAACCAAGAAGCTATTTCTAGTGCAGATGATGTTGGAAAGGAGTGGCAAGGAAGAGGACCGTGCTCATCAATTAGGGCCCACTGTGTGTCCTTTAAAGATAATGGCACAAAGTTACAGAAACAACCAAGATAGCCCACTACTGACGAATGGATTAAGAAAATGTGGTATTTATACACAATGGAATTTTATGTAGCCATGAAGAATGAAATGTTATCATTTGCAGGTAAATGGATGGAACTAGAGAACATCATTCTGAGTGAAGTTAGCCTGGCCCAAAAGACCAAAAATCGTATGTTCTCCCTCACATGCAGACATTAGATCAAGGGCAAACACAACAAGGGGACTGGACTTTGATCACATGATAAAGCAAGAGCACACTTGGGAGGTATGAGGATACGTAAGACACCCAAAAAAACTAGATAGCATTTGTTGCCCTCAATGCAGAGAAACTAATGCAGATACTTTAAAGCAACAGAGGCCAATAGGAGAAGGGAACCAGGAACTAGAGAAAAGGTTAGTTCAAGAAGAATTAATTTAGAAGGTAACACACATGCACAGGAAAGCAATGCAAGTCAACTCCCTGTATAGCTATCCTTATCTCAACCAGCAAAAACCCTTGGTCCTTCCTATTATTGCTTATATTCTCTCTTCAACAAAATTAGAGATAAGGGCAAAATACTTTCTGCCTGGTAGCAAGGGGGTGGTAAGGGAGAGGGTGGGGGCAGGGGGGAGAAATGACCCAAGCATTGTATGTACATATAAATAAAAGAAAAAAAAAGATAGTGGCACATATCTGAAGCTCCTATGTCCACCTTAAACATACACCAACAGAGGGCACAATCACAGCACATTAAAACAAAATCATCCTGAAGTATTGGTTAGAGAGTTAGTCACCAGATTTTATAGATAGGTTTTGAATATCTTAAAGGCAGGGATTTTACTTTTAAAAGGATAAGAAAAAAAAGTACCAGCTCAATCCATGAGTTTATACTGATGGTGACAGGATCAATAGATTCTACATAATGCCACCAGTGTCTGGGAACAAACAGAACCTGAAAACCAAACAAAAAATAGTTAGCACAAGAACAGGACATTCCATTTTTATGGCAGAATCAGACCCTAAGTGAGGCTGCTAGGGAAAAAACAATACAAATGAATCGACAGTAATAGTGTTGAAGGAAAAGGGGAACAAGGGGAAAAAAAACCCCATAATCTCTTTTTCCTTAGATTACTTTTTTTTTTTATTAAAAAATTCACATGCCAGCTTTTCTACTCTTCTTAAACCTGAGACTTCTCTGTCCATATTTAAATTTAAATTTTAGTAAAGGCTTCAGAGATTCTAATTTTTCTTCCCTGCCACTTTAAAATAGTTGTACACATTTTGAGAAAGGGCATGGGTGAAAAATATAGGACATAACTCTGTTCTTTCAGTTTAAAATTCAGTTGATGAGAAGATAATGTCCTAAAAGGTGGTGTTATATAAGTAGTAAATCAGAGGACATTTGGTGACTGAGAACTTCACAGGTGGGAGAAGCAGGCCTGAACTAGGGAGGTCAGAGGTAACCTGAATGCAGGAAGAGTGATTTGAATCAGAACGAGGAGAGAACTTAGACAAAAAAAGGAACGAGAATATGTCAGGAAGGAGAAGTGACAGAGGCAGAGGAGGTGGGATTGCTCAGGGCTAAGTAGATTACCCTCACTACTGCAGAGGAAGAACAACTCAAGGCCAATGGAGAATGCCTAAATTAAGAATAAAGAGGGGGGATAAAGGAAAACGATGGAGGGGGTGAATTTGACGAAGATATATTGTAAGCACTTTTGTAAATGTCACAATGTATCCTCAGTACAATAACATGATAATAAAAAAGAATGTGGATTTATTCTATAGGCATTAGGAATCACTGAGAAATTCTGAGTAGGAGGATGATTAAAATAGTGACATTAAGAGACAGTCTCTAGGAAGGACCACAGATTCTCTTATGGTCCAATTATTAAATGTTAAGGTCCAAACAGGCATGTTTACTAGACAAAAACACTGGGCAAAGTCAAGGAAGATGCCATCTGTCCAGACTCCACACAAGACTACTTGGAGGGTTGAGAACAGCAAATAGAGGCTTTGGATTGAGGAAACTAGCAGCACTAATGAGACAGGACTAAGACATGGGAAGAGTATTCTGTTTAGAACTGGGCACCAAAGGGGATACTGGATTTAGTCATAAAGATGTCATTTTAGTCTTGAGTATCCCCCAATGGCCTGTAAGTTAAAAGATTGGTCCCAGTCTGTGGTGAAACTGGGAAGTTGTGAAACTTTTAACAAGTGTGGCCTAGTGGACTGAAGTTAGGTCACAAAGGGCTTGCCCTTGAAGGGGCCACTGGGACCCTAGTCCCTCCCTGTCTCTTTCTTTGCTTCACTACTCCCATGAGGTGAGCACTTTCCTAAACTACCTGCTTCTACTATTATGTACTATGCTGCCACAAGCCTAAAGTCAAAATAAATCTTTTTTTTTTTACTGAGTTGATTTCCTCAGATATTTTATCACAGTGATAGAAAGCTGACTATACAGAAGTAATGAATGTCCTTATCATAATATTCTATAACATGGATGTACTTTGAAAACACTATTCTCTCTGAAAGAACCCAGACACATAGGCTACATTGTATGACTGCACTTACGTGATATGTCTAGAATAGGCGAATATATGGAGACAGAAAATGTATTAGTGGTTATTAAGAACTGCGGGAGAGGTGTGAATGGACAGTGACTGCAAACAGGTTGGGGCAATTTGGTAAAGTCAAATTATTTGAGTTGGCAGCAACTAAGTGTGAAGGAAGCAGGAAAGACACAGTGAGAAGGGAGCAATGGAGGGAAGACAGGCAGGGGGCAGGATAACCAAGGGAATAAGGTCTCTTCAAAAGAAGACAGGCATGCTTGTACATGTCTGTAATCCTAAGACTTGGGAAGTAGAGGCAGAAGGATGCAAGTTTGAAGAAGGATTCGAGTTTGAAGCAGAATACAAGTTTGAAGCCAGATTGATCTATGTAGTTAAGACCCTATTGCAACACCTCCCCCCAAGAAAAATGACAAAGAAAACTTTTCAAATCCTAATAAACTATTAGACAGCAAGTATCAACATTAAAAAGGAAATTTTCTCCTCAGGATCATAGAACTAAGTATGCTATCTGTAGAAATGTTTCAGAAATAGTCACCCATTATTGCTCAAAAGCAAACCATTTTAATTCATTCTGCCTCAGTTGGCCCACTACCTGAATGCAGTCCAACCTGCATTTACATCTATGGATCCAATTCTGTCATAGCTGAACAGATACTGACTGTGAATAAATAATGCTCCAGTACCATACCTTGACACTTTCTCTTTAACCTCTAAAGTCTATTCTCCTCTTCACCAACAGGAGGAGCTGTGCTCCCTCCTGCCACCTCCTTTCCAGGGGCTGTAAAGCAGAGATGTAGGGCTGAGAAGCCCAAAGATGCAGAAGCTACTCTCCCAATGCCCCCACCAGCACAGAAGCACTAGGAAAGCTGAGGGGAAACACCTGGCATCAGGACTTTACAGAGTTACAGCTCTGGTGCCCACTAATAGTTCATTCACATTTTAAAGCTCCATCACCTGTCCTGGGTTCAGTGTGACTGTATGTCTTTGAGCTTTCTGGAACTGAGGAAAATGCTTTAAATCAGGATTGACAACATTGATTTTACTGAACACACTAGATTCTTCATACGGGATTCTTGTCGGATAAAGAAAAGGTGTATCTTCGGGAGGAAAGAGATGCCATCTTTTCCTAATTGGAAAAAAAAGATGTAAGTTAGTGCTCTGAACCTGAGACAAAACAGGTAAGAAGGTAGCAGCTGAATGTTCATTTTTACCCACTTACTCCTTAGAGGAACACAGGCCATCTCAGTGGTTGGCTGACCTCTCACGCAAAGCTGGAATGCCGTCTGCACACATCTGGTAAAAGGCTGCTCACAGTGCTAGTGGATATCTCATGATCCCCTGAGATAGCCCCTTTCCTTGCTAGGATTGGACCTAATTTATAAGATCATTCTTTCATATCTCAAATCAAAATCTGCCTCCTCATGTGTTTTTTGTTTCATTGGTTTTTTTTTCCCGCAAATGTATTAAGTTTATGTAAAATATCAAGTAGTTGCCAGACATGATAGCTCAATCCTATAATTCTAGCTACTCAGGAGGCAGAGATTGAAGGATTGTAGTTTAAGGTCAGACTAGGCAAAAAGTTCTCAAGCCCTCATCTCAACCAATGTCTGGGCAAGGTAATGCACACCTGTCATCCCAGCTACTCTGGGAAGCATAAATAGGAGGATTATGGTCTAGGTTGGCCCAGATATAAAGTGAGACCCTAACTCAAAAATAACCAATACAAAAAGGGCTGGCAGAGTAGCTTAAGTGGCAGAATAATACCTGCTTTGCAAGGCCCCAAGTCCAACCTCCCAGTATGGCCAAAATAAATAAATAAATTAATTAATCAATTAAACAAATCAGGTAGTCATGGACTACAGCTTAAGGGCAGAATGCTTGATTAGCACATGCAAGGCCTTGGGTTTGATCCCCAGCACCACAACAAAACAAAACAAATAAGCAAAAAACAAATCAAGTACTCACTGTACATCTAAGGAATAAAGACCATTTTAAAAAAATACAGAGTGAAAGGATTTTAACCAAGTTTATACTTTTGTTATGGTTTTTAGCAATTAGTTTCATCACATTTTACGAAAATGTGTAAATGCATTTTAACACCCACTACAATCATGAAACTAAATTTAACTGTCAATAGTTCCTCAGAGGAAACTGATTTACCTTCTATTAAAAACTCTATAGTGTGAGGAACATACTGGTAATCCCAGCACTCAGGAGGTTGAGTCAGGAGAATCCTGAGTTTGCGGCCAGTCGGGGCTACGTAACGAGGCCCCATCTCAAAGAAAAGAGGAAAAGAGAGGAGAGCAGAGGAGAATTTTAGGCTTTATATTAATAAGGTTGGTTATGTTGGCATCCAGTAATTTCTTGTAACAGTTGATGAAATCTCATTTCAACTTTGTAGGTGGATCTTCCCCAAAGAACCTCTGGATCCTGGTCACATCTAGGTCATTCTATAATGTCAAAGTGGTACAATATTGCCATGATGTTCTGGGGTATAAGATGTATCTAGGTCCAGTGCTGTGCCCAAAACCAAAATCAGCACAGAACTGAACAGTTGGCCCCTGAGGCTGCAGCATGCTAAGCATGACTGGTGGGTACTAGCACTAGAACTAGGATATGTTTCCAGGCTATCCCATTCCTGTCATATGCCTCCTGCAATGCAGCTGCATGTCTCACACATTGTTTTTATCCCAGATTCTGGAGCTACCCAGAATAACCCGTATCCTTTGAAACATTATATTCTTATTTAGAGTAAACACCTGTATTTCCACTCAGCGGACAGCCTCCAAATTTCTCCGTCTGGGCTATACATTTCTTAAATTGACATTTGTTAAGTTAGTCCATTAAGGAAGAGAAATGCACAAATAATGCCACATAACCAACATGCAGTATACTGCAATATGGGAAATTGTTTTTTGAGACAGAGTCTTGTTATGTAACCTATCCGGGCCTAAACTTGTGATCCTCCTGTCTCAGCTTCCTGAGCACTGAGATTACAGGCCTGCACCACCATGCCCAGCTCTAATATAAGAATATTTTTATTTTTTGGTGACACTGGAGTTTGAACTCAAGGTTTCATGCTTGCTAGACAGGCATTCTACCCCTTGAGCCATGTTTACAGCCCTTTCTGCTCTGGTTATTTTGGAGATAGGGTCTTACTTTTTGCTCAGGCCAGCCTGGACTGTGATCCTCCTATTTTAGCTGTTGCTGAGATGACAGGAGCATATCACATTATGCCCAGCTTTTTTTCCGGAGAGACGGAGTATCGAAAAATTTTTGTCAGAGCTAGCCCTGAACGACGTTCCTCCGGATCTAAACCTCCCACATAGCTAGGATTACAGGCGTGAGCCACTGGAATCCAGCTTAATATAGGAATTTTTAAAAGGAGAAAACTAGAAAATATTTTAGTCACTTAATTTTTGTTTTGAAAGTCGGAGGTCAGAAATCTTATTTCACAAAACTCTAAACACATCTATATGCCAATAGAGGGAGGCCATTTGAGGCAAAAGAGGAAGAAGTATGAGAAGAGACAGAGACAGCCAAGAAAACATACATGGGGGAGCAAAGGAAAAAAGAGAAATAAACCGAAGTTCTGAGAAAAGAAGCCTTAAAGCCCTCCCGTGACCCCTGGCAGAACTGTGACTGTGAGAACTGGGAAGCAGTGGCTGCTGTTTTCAAATTAAGAAGTATGTATTAAAATCTTACTTTGCTTTGGAAATTTGAAGGTTTCACAGGAATAATGAAATGCTTTGCTTTTCAGAAATTCACTTTGGAACTCTAAGGCTGCCTATCAGTTTACATAGCCATCAGCTAATAATCCTTGAAGTTCAAAAGCTTATGGCGTCATCTCAAAGTTTTGAGGTAATAAAGCTACATTCCCTTGTACTTATGGATAGTTTAGAAGCAATTTTTGGCATCTAGTACCTTTAGAAGCTAGATCTGGAAGGACTCTAAAGAGATCATCAGTCTAATTTCATTTTCAAGACAGTAGCTGAGATCAAGTTTCTTCTCATTGTTACTTGCTGGGTTCATGGTGGTGGGAAGAACCCAGAGTACTGTCCAGATCTCTCTAGATCCCGGCTCCATCCTTGTACCTAGCAGTATTTCCCAAAGGAACAGCCAGAATCATAACTATCCCATCTAATCTGCTTTACTTGGTTTCAGATATTAAAGATGTCCTACAGAAAGGTACTCAATCACCATGTCATCCTTTCTCAAAGACCTCTCATGGTTCTCTATGCTGAAACAGCAGAGAATAAGCACTATTTGGGAGTCAAGACCCTTAGGCCTTTCCTGCTCAATCCCTCTGTCCCTACTACGTAACTTACACTGGACTTTCACAGAGGTCTCTATATACCCCTGCTTTCCCAGACCCCTCTACCCCTCCCATCTTAGACATGTGAACACTTATCCATCCTTCAGAGCCCAACACACACAGCAGCATCTCTATGAAATCACCCCTGATCTTTACAACAGGAATGGTACCTATCCTACTTTTTAGTCCCAGGGCTCTGTGAATTCTTCATCTAGAGCATATACACTCTGCCTTCTATCTCCGCTGTCTATCGAACCTACCTGCACTTTAGTTGAAAACCCTTAGGGCAGGAAGGACATCTTACTCACTGACCTCTGTACCTACCATAACAGTGGGTCCTGAATGATACTCAGTGGATATTCACTAAAGCCATTTTATTATGCCAGAACTACACAAAGTCAGGAAGTATGTTCTATTAGAAAGTTATAGTAAAGCTATATTAACTTTCCATCACAGAAAGAACTCAGGTAGGTGTTTTTTTTTTTTCAGAATACTTTTCCACCTTGAATTTCTTTGATTTGTTTCCCATTTCAACAAAGGAAATGGAGAGGGGCTACTTAAAACAATGCCTGCACTTACCAAGTTTCAGATTTCAGACTCTGAACTCCATGAGGGCAGAGACCACACACCTAGTTCACTGTTGCATCCACAGGGTGCAGCAGTGTGCCTGAGACAGTCTAAGTCCTTAATACAGACTTGATGATTTCAACAGTGGGCTCTCTACATGGTTATTGCAGTTTTCAGAGCACTTTCCATGTAAGCTGTATTTATGTACATAGTGACTGTTTCTCTTGAATGTGCTCTTAATCATTTTTGTCTAAAGAGTCTAAGAAATTGCACATGGCCATTTCTGTTTCCCTCTATGCTACCCTATAAATATCCCAAAGGGCAAGAAGGGAAGACTGCACATCATTTATTAGGGGATAAGGTTGCACTTATGACATATGAGTACGTTTTCCAGCAATTCAGGAGTGAAGTACTATCGAAGTACTGCCAGAGTTAATCCTGTATCTCTTAGGGTCCACAGACAGATGGTGATTTAAAAAAGAAATGACTTATGGTAATATACTGCATTGTGTCTACTGGCAAGCACAAACAAAAATTCAGAGTTGAAAGGGACTGTAAAAAAACTACCTGGCCCAGCCCAGGCAAATAGTTTGAGAGAACCTATCTAGAAAAAACCCGTCACAGAAAAAGGACTAGTAGAATGGCTCAAGGTGTAAGGTGAGTTCAAACTCCAGTACTGCAAAAAAAAAATGACCTGGCCCAGTCTCCCTGCTAACCCCAGAGGGGCCTGAGGGACTTCTCTTGTCAATACCCACCTCTGCTCTTATTTACTGAGAGTTGAAGAAAGAGTACCCCTGCTTTTAATAAAAAGCACACACATACATACTATTATGTACTGCCTAGCTGAATTGGAAGCCCTGAAGACAATCCTGATCATGGCTAAGACACATGAAAACCATTTCAACTGTTCCCCTCATTTCACCCAGAAGGAAACAGAAGGGCAGTGAAGAGGTCTGCCCTGGTCCCAACACAGGCAGACAGGATGGGACTGAGGACTAAGGCTTAGGGTCCTGCCATCCACCCAGTACTCCTTCCTCTTCCCAGTCACAGGCGCTTGCATCCATGTGCATTACCTTCCTTGTACCTGGAATACTAAGTTGCAACCATAGGAGTCCAGATGACAGGGGGTATGGGCTCCCAAGGAGCCAATCCACAATGTACTTTCCTGTCCATTTCTTCCAGGAAACCCGAAGTCAGACCATATTACACCCTGTTTGAAATAAAGTTACAATCCATCAAGAACCAACCAGTCTTCTGCATGGCAGTATTGTGCATTTTCACTTACACATCAGTTTTTGGCATTTGGGATTATCCTACTGCAGAAAAAATGATGGAGGTTTTCAAGGGCAGTCCAAGAAAATTTTTTAACCAATAACATGTTTGAATAACCTCACGAATAGTATTCATTCAACAAATATTTACTGACTACTTAACAACATGCCAAGAACTGTTCTGGACACGTGTGATGAATCAATGAACAAAACAGACAAAAATGCTCACCACAGCTGAGTGCTGGTGGCTCATGCCTATAATCTTAGCTACTCAGGAGGCAGAGAGCTGGAGGATCGTAGTTCAAAGCCAACCCAGGCAAATAGTTCGAGAAACCGTTTGGGGAGGGTGGGAGAGAAAAAAGAAAAAGAAAAAAAAACATCACAAAAAAAGGGCTGGTGGAGTGGCTCAAGGTGTAGGCCCTGAGTTCAAACCCCAGTACCACAAAAAAAAAAAATGCCCACCCAGATGAACATCTATCTGTTGGAGACAGATAAAAAACAACACAGGTACTTACATAGATAGCTGGGGAAGAGTGTTTCAGGCAGTAGGAACAGGGAGTGCAGAGGAAATGTCGCTAAAGCTCAACTTAGGCAGCCAGAGGCCTGTTAAGCAGTGCCATTATCTTGAGCATAAGCAACTTCTTAACCTTTTGTACTTCAGTGACCACATGAATGACGATTTCTAGATTAATGGAGTCATTTAAAACTATCGATAGTAAGCCTCAGCTCACACTTACAAAACCAGTCTCCAGTTGGAGGTGTCACAATATAGTTTTTGAAATATATATCCATAGATAACTTCTGCTATACCCCTCCAACCCATGCATTTCTTAAGCGTAACAAGCTGAAAATGGAGACAGCGCATAGTGTTCTAGACTTCAACTCTCCTTTTGCCTGGCTCTGTGAACAAATCCTGCCCAAGTCAATTACTGGGAGAAAAAAAAAACGAAGCCTATACTTAGAAGTCAATAGTGTCTGTTGTAGTGCAGGAAAATAAACAGTCAGACACATATACAAATCCAGGGGATTAAAAATACTTATGAGCTAGAAAAGAAAAATATGCTAGTAAACCAGAATGAGAATACTGTTTTTTTGGGTTTTTTTTTGAGAATACTGTTTTTTAAGAATCACAGCTGTCCCACATCTACTTGAATCAACACACACTGACACACGCCAAGTTAACCAATGATAGAAACACAAAAAGGTGCAAGTCACAATGTCTTTATTATCAAGGACTTTACAATCTAGTGGATTCATCTACCTAAAATAAAATACCGAGAAAAAAATGCCAAAAGGCAGTTAATATTGTTATTGCAAAAACCGCACAATAAGTTAAGAGGCCAAAAATGGTTGAAATTTGGTTTTTGCCCTTTTCTGTCTTGTTCCTCAATAAGGAGTCAACATATTATTACTTAGTAGTGCTAACTGTACTAAAAGAACTGTTTCTTCCCTTTCCTCTACTTCAGGGAGGATAATGGACTGCCAACCTATTAACCAGCAAATAAAATGACTGCCAGGTAGCTGACTGTAAGGACTTCCTTTGAAACTGCTAGATTGAAGTGAAGTGTCAGGGAGACTCTGACTCCAAGGGCCTCCTTCTCCTGCTGGAAAGGATATTCCTAGCCATGCACAAAGAATGACCTCAGGATGATGGGACAGAGGGTAAGACTCATACTTGAAACCTTCTCTTCAGTACTGCAACTCTCTGACTTTCTATAACTGCTTCATGCAGCGACCCTGGAATAAACATACTTTGCTTTTACCATGTAAGTCTTGCTTCACTTTTTCATGTTTTTACATAAGCAGGGTGTGGCAGAAACTGCCCATCTTTCTTCATATTTAACACCCAATTTCAATCAGGGAGACAATGTACCCAGCAAATAAAGGTTTACCTTTTAGACTCCCTGGCAGCTAAGAGAGATCACTGCATGAATGGTAACCATTAAGCAGAAGTAGTTGGGTAGGACCTCCGGCTTAAAAGATAGAGTACACTTTTGCCCTTCCTCCTTTCTGGAATACAGTTGTGAAGGCTATCTTGGAACATGCGATGGCCTTGAGGATGGAAGCCATTCACTAAGAGACTAAAGACAAAAGAAAGACAGGAAGAGCTTGGCTTCTTCAGTATGACAGAGCCTTCATTCCAGCCCTCTGTACAGAATGCTAGCCAAGCCATCTCCAGACTTTCTTTACATGAGAAATAAAGATTACCCTTATGTACTTAGGCTAATTCTATTCTGGGTTTTCTGTTATAAAAATAGATCATTTTGTGCTCTTTGATCCTAAGGCTTGGTTTCTATATTAGACTTTAAAGTCTCATGACAGCCTAGTCTTTTATTTGAGGTGACCTCTCCAATAACTAATACAGTGAGTGCAATGCATCTTCAAAAACTGCTGAGTTTCTGATGTTACTTGACCTATTTTTACCCTAAACCTAAATAGTTCCTAAACCTGTTCCAGTTAATGAGTTTAATAATTGTAGCAGAATCAAACAACATTTAAAAAATACTCTGCAAGTAACCAAATCATCCATGATTTTAGTCTTAACCAAAGAACTGAAGAAACACTGGTAAGATATTTGTAAGACAGATTGGTGCTTTCTTTTGGCCAACCATGTAAACCTACAGTAACCAAAAATAATTAATTCTCACGTTGTTTAGTTCTATAAAATAGTATATTATTTGATAAAATTATTTAAAGACTATTATCACATATGCATTCCTGCTTTATAGATAGGAAATATAAGATTCGAACAGATTAAATGAGTTTATGTTATTAGTTCATATTAGCTCATTCTCAGAATCTAGGCTCTGGGAATACCCCAACTCAAAAGTATTTTTTCTTTCTACATATACCATGCTACTTTGTAATCATAGTAAATTTGGGTCAATCTATCATATTAAAGTTTGTCTTATTCTATTTATTCTCCATTCCTAGATCATAATATAGAAAAACTGATCATATACGTACCTCCCCAATAAACTTACATTTGAATAAAAACAAAAGAACCTAATGTTGGTCCAAAACAACAGTGGGACTTGAAACATAACTATAATTAATATATAAAATGTATAAAGGACAAATAGTTTAAATTTGAACCAGAACCTTAAGTGGACATTATACTTTAGCAAGTACTTTAGTCTTCTTTGTCCTTGGAAAAATTACCTTTGGGTACATAAACAGAAAAGAGGTCATTAACTCTCTACCCACTGATAGGCTGGATAAATACTTAAAATTCTTACATGCCAATTTGCCTCATCAGAAAGCATCACAGATCCCTTTAATCATTACCAAACCACCTGCCTCAATTTCAACATACTCTCATGGCAGTGTTATAAAGTTCAAGACATGTTATAACTAATCTTCCATTTATTGCACTTGGGGATTCTACACCCTGTGACTTAATAAGGCTTGTGACTGTAACCAATCCAAATCACAACATAAGATGCAATCTACCTGAAAAAAAATTCTTGGAGCAAAATCCTTTTTTGTCCCCTTGCAGTGCTGGGGATGCATATGCTAGGCAATACATGTTAATTCTTAATACTCTCAATGACAAGGATACCAATGATAATGGCAAAAGTAAAACTTGTTCATTTTTACCTAGTGAGTCAGAGATAAAGGAATTTCATGTTGTACGTCATGAATTCCCTACCTTCTTGGGCAGTAGAGGAAAAGTGTTCAAAACTGCTTTACTTAGATTAGTCAATGGTATGATATGTAACTAAAAATAATGAGACTAATTTTATTTGCCATATATAACAATCAGTTAATTATCAAAATCATAATTTTAGATCACCTATAAGTTACCATATATTTTCCAACCTTATCAGTATGTTTATCAGTATATTCATACATCTATTTAAATGTTATACAATATATCTATCAGTGGACAAATTTACCTAATGGAAGAAAAGAGTTAGTAAATGGAAACTTCAAGGAGAGGTAGTAAGTAAAAACTTACAAAACTAGAAGGCTGAAGAAAGCTGAGAATTTCTTATCAAGATTGACAAATGCTACACTGATTAACTAGAAGCCAAAGAAAATTTGACAAGGATGAAGTCAGGGGTGAAATTTAAAACATTCTCTGAAGAGCCCTAAAAAACTAAAAAAATCAAAACAAGAAATGATTAAGACTAGGAGAAAAAACATGTACGTAATCATTCAAATACCTATTAGACATTCAGCACTATGTTAGCAGTTTAGCAGTTTATGTTAGCAGAAATAAAAAAGCAAAAAACATAGCCAAAAAAACTTACAATATTGCTATAGGAACAAGAAACAATGTTTATGTCATGCACCTTTAAAAAACAAGTCACATAAAACAGATAGGAATGAAGGCAAGGCATGGATGGATGTGGTGCAAGTGGTTGAAATTCATAGCCGAGGCCCTTAGAAGTAGAACTTACTAGGCAGAAATTAAGAAGGGCATAGCAAAGGTCAGAAGGTAAGAGGGAATATGGCATGTCCACTAGTCAGTGAGGAGACTGGACAGGCAGGCTCAGTCACCAGGGAGGGTCTCAAATTATACCATATACAATGTTTAAGTCATGGATTGTTTATAAACATGATTAATACATTTAATATTTAATCTGGAGCATTACTTGATGTTTTCATAAGAAACTATTTTAGAATAAGGGGAGGAGTCAGAACTAGAAGGATAATACAGAAGTGATGTTGTACACTAGAGGCTCTCTGAGACTCTTTCAGGGGATCTGTGAGGTTGAAACTATTTTCATACTATTATTAAGAGGCTATTTGCCTGTTTCACTCTGGAGATATTTGATGGTGCAAAAAGAATGGTGACTAAAATTGATAGTGTTACATGTACAGGAAAGCAATGTGAGTCAACTCCCTGTATAGCTATCCTTATCTCAACTAGCAAAAACCCTTGGTCCTTCCTATTATTGCTTATACTTTCTCTTCAGCAAAATTAGAGATAAGGGCAGAATAGTTTCTGCCTGGTAGTGAGGGGTAAGGCAGGGGAAGGGGAGGGGGTGTGGAAGGGAGAGGGTGCTGGAGGAAGGGGGGAGAAATGACCCAAACATTGTATGCACATATGAATAAAATAAAAATTTTTTTAAAAATTGATAGTGTTAAGACAATGGGACCAAAATGTATTAGTAGCATTGAATTCATTTTAAAAGATGCTTTATCGAAGTATAACTGATATATAATAAGCAGTATAGACTTAAGGTATGCAGTTGATAAATTTTTACATGCACATACACCTGAAAATCTATCACCACAATTGAGATGACTAACATTTTGATCATGTCCAAAAGTTTCCCTGGGTCCCCTCATAACCCATATCATTCTCAGACAACCACTAATCTATTTCTATTGCTATAAATTAATTTGCAAGTTCTAGAATTTTATAAAAATGGAATTGTGTTCTAAGTATTCCTTCCACATGCTAATATTAATCAAAATCAAACTAAATAAAACAAACATCAGAACAAGTAATAACCCAAAGTAAGGGTCATTTCATCAAAGTAAGGGTCATTTCATAAAATGCCAATTCTCCAAGAGGACTTCCTAATCCTAAATGTGTATGAACCAAACAACAGAATGCACATTATTTTCAAGTATACATGGAATACTTCCCAAGATTAACTGTATTTGGGGCATAGAACAAGTTTCCATAAATTTAAAAGGATAAATCATATAAAGTGTGTTTTCTGAACACAATGGAATGAAACTAGAAAACAGTTAACAGAAAGACAGCTGGAAAAATCCCCAAATATTTATAAATTAAACACTATACTTGTAAATAATAAGTAGGTTAAATAAAAAGAAAAATTAGCAAATATTTTGAATAGAATGAAATTTTGGAAACTGTATATTGAGATACATGTTGAAAGCTTCCTAAAGACTTTCTTATGTGAATGCTATGATATTAGCAAATGTGACTTTACATGATAAAAAGTATTAAGTACACTGAATTATATCAACATTTGGAAAATCTATTTAACTCAGTAAACCAACATCTTCCAAACATTACATAAGATCCATTTTGGCTGGTGGAGTAGCTTAAGTGGTAAAGCACCTGCCTAGCAAGTATGAAGCCCTGAGTTCAAACCCCAGTTTAAAAAAAAAAGATGATATATTTTAATACATTTGACTAAAAATATCAGATTTTATAAGGACTTGATTAGAATTCCAGTACATTACCCAAACTCTGTCTTTAATATCCACACTTACTGGTCACATCTCTGCCCAGTGCTGGCATGCCTGAGATAGGATGCACAACTAGTGGGGTCAGATGAGTCATCCAAGGCAGTGTAAGCTAGACTTAGCCCCGCAGGACAGCATGTGCCTGCTGTGCAGGCAGAGTAGTCAAATTCTCCATAAAGACTACTTGGGCCAACGCCTTCTTGGTTGCATAATCTTAGAAAAGGTTTACAAAACCTCTTTGTGCCTCATTTTTCTTAAAATGGGGATATTAGAAAATCATAGTGTTACTGTGGGGATTCTAAATATAAAGCACTTAGAAAAGTACCAAGGATGAGTACTTGATAAATATTACTATCACACAAGGTTTTGCCTACATTATGAAGTAACAAGGTCCAATCCACAAAGTAGTGGGGGATATGTGAAATAGATAAAAGTTAATTGTGACACTATGGATTAAAGATCCATAGTGTGATCTGAAACTATTAAAAAAAAAAAACCTGCCTCAAAATTATCATTCAAAAATGAGTAAATAGATTTGGCATGGATTTTGGGTTCAGAAGCATTTATTGAGTATTTTCAAAATCAATGCATTATTTCAATGCTGTATAAAGACGCTTCAAGGGTAGTGGTACACACCCATAATCCCACCACTTAGGAGGCAGAGGCAGGAGAATCTCAAATTGGAGGCCAGTCTAGGGTATGGAGCAAGACCCTGTCTCAAAAACAAAACAAAATAACAGAATACAGATATACTCTCAAGTACCAATGATTGGGCAAGAAAGTATACTTTTCCACTTTATAAAAAACACAATTATTTAAGTAAACATTTTAAAAAGTTAATAAAGGAAAGCTACAAAATATTGGTAACTGTATTATAATAACTGTAAACACCTAGATGCAAAGAAAGAAAAATATAAGCTGAATAGAAACTGCTCCGGAGCTAAAGAACCATTGTCCCATGTAAGAGGAAAGCACAGACAGGGAGGTGGTGACAGGCAGGAGGGGAGGAGCAGGGGTGAACAGCCTGAGTTATGGAGAAATACTTCTCCCCACAGAGGACTAGAGGCAGAGTGAAGAGTTCTAGAGCTGTGCCTGATAAGGGGCAAGGCGGTCATCCACACAAGGGTCCCAGGGACCACACTAGGACAAAACAGAACCAGAGCAGGGCATCTGCAAAATCACTCCCCAAAACAAACTGGCAGGCTGAGGAAGACTACACTTATAAGAAAAGAGGATATGGCAGACTGCAAGCTCTGTTGTCAGTTATGGCAACAAAGGGCAAAGAACTTCCATATTTTTACTTCTGCAAGTCATTCCCACAATTCTGTAGTGCTTCTACCACCAAGTACCACAATTCTCTGCTTCAGGCCATAAACCACCAGAGAAGATAGCTGGGTGGATAGCAGAGGTGGCCTGGTCATAGGCCAAGGAATGCTTCTTAGAATCAGGTTTGGACCTCTGCCTGCCTCACTGACAGAACAAGAACTAACAAGAACTTCTGTGGAGGTCAGGAGGAGATGAAATTTTAGTCAAAATCTATGCTTCCACTACACTAACCACTCAGGCACTGTTTAAGGGCAAAAGGAGGGGTGTGGAGGAAGTGGTGAGCAGGAAAACTGAGAAGGCAGCTCATCCGTGTGAGCCAATGTCACAGCTGTCTCGAGTAGATCTTCTAGTTTCACTGGGTAAAATGCTCAAGACTCAAGGTGACTACTTACAAGATAAAAAGGCAATGAAGAAAGAAGGTACCATGAAGATCCTAATCTATGATCTTTTTTAAGAGCAAATTCTTACCAAGATTGAAAGGAATGCATTACTTACCTGGAAAATATCTGTCCTATCTTCAAATAGACTGATAAAATATTTATAGTCAGCATAAGCCCAGAATTTGGAATGATCATAATCTCTAAACGGTCCAGAACTACTGTGTTGGTCACAGTTCCAGGTCAGAAACTCTTCAAGTGTAGCATCCACATAACTACATGCAGTTTCAAACTGAGGAACTACAATGTAAGAGAACATAATTTTAAGTACATAATAAACACAGTTTCCAAATGGTATAGGTTTTTTTTTTTAAACAAAGTTAAATTCTTTTGTTTCTTTTTGTTATTGTTGAACTCAGGGTCCAGCACCTGCTACAAGTACTCTACCACTTGAGCCACACCCTAGCCTTTTTTGCTTTTACTTATTTTTCAAGCTTTTTGCCTGGGGGATAAGCCTCTGACTTTGATCTTCCCAAGTCTACCTCCCACATGGAGGTGATTATAGACACATGACAACATACCTGGCCCAACAAGGTAACTTCAACCAAAAAAAAGGTAGTTAAAAATTAATTTTGTACTTGCCATACAATTAGAAACATTTACACCACTCACAATAAAGTGAAAAACACAGTTTTCCCCTTAAGATTCAAAGCTATCCTCCAAGGGGTGTCATAGTGCACATCTGTAATCCCAGCACCCAAGAGGCTGAGGCAGGAGAACGGTGAGTTCAAGGCAGCCTAAGCTGCATGGCAAGTTCCAGGCTAGCGAGAGCTACATAGCAGGACCTTGTCTCAAATCACATCCCCTCCAAAAAAGAAAAAAAAAAAAGATTAGAAATTAACCTTATTATAGCTTGATGCAAGCCTAAAGACAGAACACTGTCTTGTAAATTCACCTCACAGAATTCAATCCAACTGATCCAACTGAATTCTAAAGCCATGAACTGAGTCACCTGTCCCCAGGGTGGACTAAACACGATTTTTCAGTTCTGCTTTGCAGACCTCAGAACTTGGCCTCACTTAGAGGGCTTCATTTTCTCTCATACCAAGCTCTGGATGTTAAACATTAAACTCTAAAAATGTAAAAATTGTTATTGTCAGGAGAAAATTAAAATAAATGAACAGAAATGACAGACATTTTCACTTACATAATGATTTAAAAACAAAATCCTTTAAATCTGTTCAAGCAGTAGTAGCACAAAGGTACTGTTCCGATTTCATTACAATGACAGTTTCTCTCTGGGTAGCATACTTGTTTTTCTTAGTTTATTTTATGAAATGGAATTATTCCTGTCTGAGTCTATCATTATTGTTCTTTTATTTAATGCTGAAACTGCCTAAGCAGCTGCAACTTTCATCCAACTTACTATAAAGTAAAAAGAAGCTTAACTGAATTCAAGATTGGGCAGTAATGTATAGTTTGAACTTGCTTTTAGCTCTCATAATAAAAGGGTCTTAAAATATTTTTGCCCAGCAAGAAAACAACTATTTCTCCATTTTGTTAGAAATTCATCATTTTACAGACAAGAAACAACACATGAGATATGAGCCCTGCACAGGACTTCTATCACTACTCTAATCCCCAATTACAAATTAGGGGTTATTTCTGCAACTGCTTGTAAATTATCGTCAGCTGAGGTGCAACACTTCTACTGAGTACACACCTTGACAAATGAATTTCATCCAAAATGTCCTAAAGACCTATGTGATTTCACTGGTTCCTAAAATAAACTCAGGAAGGTGTTACATTAAGATAAAACACTGTAACTATAGAAAACAACTATATACTGTACTTTCCAAAAAGCCAGAAGATTTGAAAGTTTTCACCACAAAGAATTGATAAATTTTCAGGAGATAAGTGTGCTTAACCTGACTTACACAGTGCAATGTCTACATGCAAAGCAGGACGTGGCACCTAACTAATATTTCTACCTTTTACATTTTTGTGTATCAGTTCAAAAATAAAAAGCAATTATTTTCAAAACCAATTACTAACACTATTTCAAGCATTCTAGAAAAATCCCAACCTAGACTTAAGCCAAAAATAAGAAATATTATCAACAGAGAAGGAATAAAACTATCATTATAAGATTATATGCCTGTCTACCTAGAAAAGCCACAAAAACTACCTAGACCAATAGATGGCTGGATATAAGATAAACACAGAGGCACTCTGCTGTTTTATGAGACAGGCATTAGGGTCCCCACTTACAATTCAGGAAACTGAGACACAGAGCAGTTCAGTGGCATGAGGTCACACAGCTGAGAAAGCTGGAAATGGGTATCCCCAAAAGCATAGTGTTTTGCTTATGGTTATATTGCTCAGGAGTAAGGAAGCCACAGGAGGAAGTCTTCAGGCTGCCTACCTCCCTCAGGAAGCTGGGGCTTGAACCAGGTGCCACCCTATGGATGGGAGATGATGATAAACCAAGCGAGGTAAGACTACTTCATTAATCACATGACACAGGCAATTCCATTTGATCATCCTTGGTTTGAGAGGTGCCAAATCATCCCTCCAGCTCCTTGCAAAGTGGAGATGTGCTGGGATTTGATTTCATAGGGAGTAAGAAGCCAGTGGTCATTCGCTCAGTAACACCAGGTGACCCCTCAGAAGGCAAGCTGATCCCAGGAGATCAGGATGTATCAGTGTAGCACCCAGAGATCAGGTCATCGATCTGGTCAGAAGCTACAAAAAATCGATACTCCTCACTGTCATTCAGCCCTACCCTTCTCCCAAATCAGCATTTATTATTGCTACACAAAAGGGAAGACTGAAGTCCAATCCAGTCAAAGTGTGCTTCTCCAAGGAAGTGATCATCAACTGTCAAGTGTCAGAAACTGTTAAAAAACTTCTTTTTTTTTATGCCACATGTTTTGAAAGTCTGTCTAGAAAATGAGTAGACCAAATCCTTTCACTTTGACTGCAGCACCTCTATAAAGGATGTCATCTTAACACTATAAGAGAAGTTCTCCATCAAAGGCAATGAGCATTTCTCACTCATGCTGGAGCAGAAGACAGCATGAGAGGGGGCTGGAACCAAGCTGCTCTTGCTTCATGAACAATAGACTCTAACTCAGGTGACACAGAGACCCAGCACTCATAAGATGAGATGTCTTTTCTGAATTAGCTTTATCCCAAAGGATCCAATTGACCTGCTAAGGAGAGATCCAGTTGCTTTCCAGTATCTCTATGTTCAGAGTTGCAACGATGTTGTTCAGGAGTGACTTGGGTGAAATATGACATCACCTTGCAACTGGCTGCATTACAAGCGTACATCACCATTGTTACCACCAAGCAGATGCAGAAAATCTCCCTCAAATATATCGAGAAAGAATGGAGATTACAGACTTTTCTTCCCCCAGCAATGCTACAGAGCATGAAAGAGAAGAACATCAAGAAAGCACTTTCACACCGTGTCAAGGCAAATCAAAACTTAGCACCACTGGATAAAAAGCTCTCCATACTGCAAACCAAGGTTCACTATCTCAAGTTTCTTGTGACCTGCAACTATATGGGGGCCATGTGTTCAAGGCAACATTAGTGCAGGCAGAAAAGCATTCAGAAGTGACTCTTCTGATTGGGCCCTGCTATGGCATAAACCATGTCATAAACACCAAAACCAACCTGTTAGCCCTTATAGCTGACTTCAGTCATGCCAACAAGATTGAAATGTTTACTAAAGAGGAAAGTTTGGTGAGAGTGGAGCTTCATGTGCTAGATGTGAAGCCCATCGTGCTCCTGATGGAATCATCAGACACCATGAACCTAGCCACCTTGAAGGATGGGTACTACAGACTGCTTCTGGATTCCAGGAGGTCAATATTGAGCATGGCCAATAAGAAAAATGCAGGAATGCAAGACCCAGGAATTACTACATCTATCAATATTAACACTGAATGCCAATGGACTCAACTTCCCTATCAAAAGATACTGTCTGACAAACTGGATTAAAAAGGAAGATCCAACAATTTGTTGTTTACAAGAGACTCATCTTATTGACAGAAATAAACATTGGGCTTAGGGTGAAAGGGTGGAAGAAGACTTACCAAGACAATGGCCCCCTAATAAAACAGGCAGGAGTACCAATACTTATATCAGACAAAGTAGACTTAAAGCCTACATTGGTCAAACGAGATAAAGAAGGACACTTCATACTAATAAAAGGTGCAATATATCAAAAGGAAATAACAATTATCAACCTATATGCACCCAATGTCGGTGCACCCAATTTCATCAAACATACAGTAAAGGACTTAAAAGCACATACAGACTCCAACACAGTGGTAGTGGGAAACTCTATCATGAATAGATAGGTCATCCAAACAAAAAAATCAACAAAGAAATCCTAGAACTAAATGACACCATAAACCAAATGGACCTAACTGATGTCTACAGAACATTTCATTCAACAGCAGCAAACTATACATTCTTCTCAGCAGCCCATGGAACTTTCTCCAAAATAGATCATATCTTAGGGCACAAGCAAACCTCAGCAAATAGAAGAAAACAGAAATAACCCCTTGCATTCTATCTGATCACAAGGCATTAAAACTATAACTCAGTAACAAAAGCAACAGCAGAAAACACGCAAAAAATTGGAGGCTGAATAACAAACTGCTCAACGATCAATGGGTCACAGAAGAAATGAGAGGAAATCAGAAAGTTCCTGGAAGCTAATGAAAATGAAAACACCACCTAACAGAACCTATGGGACACAGCAAAGGCAGTCCTAAGAGGAAAGTTTATAGCCATGAATGCTATATTAAAAGGACAGAAAGATCTCAAATAAATGACCTAATGCTACATCTAAAACTCCTAGAGAAACAATAAGCAAAACCTAAAACAAGCAGAAGGAGAGAAATAATAAAAATAAGGGCCAAAATTAATGAAATAGAGACCAAAACACCATACAAAGAATCAACGAAATAAAGAGCTGGTTCTCTGAAAAAATAAACAAGATTGACAATCCCCTAGCAAATCTGACTAAAATGAGGAGGGAAAAGATCCAAATTAAAAAAATCAGAAACGAAAAAGGAGAGATAACAACAAACACTAAGAAAATCCAGGGAATCATCAGAGAGTACTTTGAGAACCTATATTCCAATAAGCTGGAAAATCTTGAAGAAATGGACAAATTTCCAGATATTATGACCATCCAAAACTGAACCAAGAGAATATTAACCACCTAAAAAGATCTATAACACATAATGAAATTGAAGCAGCAACAGAGTCTCCCAAAA